ACAGCTCACCCCTTGGCAGGCCCACTGGGCTGCCACTATCCAGTCCTATCCCATCTGGTTTTCCTGGCAGGCTGGTTGCCTGCAGGTGCCGGCTGACACTCTTTCTCAGAAGGGAACTGCTGAGGAGCCTGCCCCAGTGGCCATGGTCCTTCCCCCGAACCTTTGGCTTTTGGAGGGGGTGGATTCCTGGGTTCACCTTGTTTCTCCCACCTTTTCCCTTACAAAAATACAAAAACATCTAAAAATTAACCACCTCATGTGAATAGGACATCTTCTGGCATGGATACAGCACTCCAAAAACAACTCAAAGCTGTACTCTCACCTGTCTGAGGAAATGTCAAAGGAGGATCAGCTGCCTGATGCTCACCCTTTGAGGAAATTAGCCAAAGGAGCATGGGGAGTTTACGCTGTGTCTGTGGAACTGTATGAACGTGTCAAGAACAACACAAAAAAGGATTCTACAGATCCAGAACCAAAAGATAATGTTACTATCACAGAAGATGGAACAAAATGATTTGGAACCATGCATCTGTACATTCCCCCCAAAGATCACCACCACTGTATGCGCTTGTATCACAATCACAAGTCAGCAGGACACCCCGGACAGAAGGCAATGTTCACAAAGATGCAAAAAGAGGTCTGGTGGGAAGGTATGGGTAAGGATATATGAGCTTACATGGCAGGATGCCCCATTTGTCAGACCACTAAGGTCATGACTCATCCACCTACACCACCTGTCATCCTCCATGATATGCCCAAGGCCACATTCCCATTCCAACAAATCTCCATGGATCTCATCACCAATCTCCCAGTCTCAGGAGAACAAAAATACAACTTGATTCTCATGGTTGTCAATCAGGGGCTGACAAAAGCTGCCCTGTTTGTTCCATGTCATAAAACAATTGACTCTGTTGGAATTGCCCAGCTGTTTCATCAACACATCTATTCCCAGTTCAGTGTCCCTGAATCAGTAATCTCCAATCGTGGACCACAGTTCGCATCTTCCTTTACCAAGGAACTGTACAAAGTGATAGGGGTAAAAGCTAAACTCTCAACAGGTTACCATCCCCAGACTAATGGAGAAAGCAAGCACATCAACCAAGAGGTTGAAGGATATCTATGCCTGTACTTTGCCAAGGCCCCAAACTCTTGGGCTGCCAGGCTCCCTTCGGCAGAGTTTGCCCACAACTCACAGGTACACTCTGTCCATCAAATGATGCCATTCTTGTTGCTCCTGGGATATGACCCCTCCCCCTATCTGGAAGTTTGACTCACTGCAGTCCCCTCAGTAGATGAAAGGTTGGAAAGACTGGCCTCAAACCACAATGTCACCATTCTTGCACATAAAAAGGCACAGGATCTGATGCGTTTGCACTCAAAAGGGTCTTATGTCATGCCCAAGGTAGGAGACCAAGTTCTCCTGGATACCAGGCATCTTCGCATCAAGAACCAGTGTGACAAAATTGTGCCCCAACATCTTGGCCCCTTTGAGGTGACTCAGGTCATGTCACCTGTGGCCTTCCAATTGGACCTTCTGTCCACCTGGAAAGTTCACCCCATCTTCCATGCCTCTCAGATCTTCCCCTTCACCAAAAATGATACTTATGGTGCTGCACCCACAATGCCTCTACCAGGACTTGTGGATGATGAAATTGAATGGGAGGTCAAGTCCATAATTAATCACAAGATTGATGGTCACAGCAGTAAGTGGAAGTATTTGGTCAAGTGGAAAGGGTTCCCTCATTCATCAAATACCTGGGAGCTGGAGGAACATATAAAGGACCATGCCTCTGAAGCACTCAACCAATACAAACTTGCCTGCCATCTTCAAAACTAATGGACTCCCCTCACTCCATAAACACTGAAAATGACTATGCTGGCCTCCCCCTCACAGAATCCATTTATGACCCTGCAGCCAACAGGGACAACTTGTTCATCCCTCCCATCACTGTCTATGCCCCAGCCTCACCTCCAACAACCACTGCCAGCTTTCCTGACTTGTACCCCTTGTCCCCCATCTTGCAGCCTTGCCTGACATCACCCCCTGTCGCCTGCCCTCTCTGACCATGTCCACATGTGTCCCTCTTGGTTAAGAGGGTCCCTGCCCCCAAGGCCAGAGTCTCCCCTAGAGGGGACAGTAACCAGCAGGGAAAGGGAAAGGGTAAGGAGAGAGCTGACAATGACACTGATAGTTGAGCAGCCAAGGCTGGTCCCTCTGATGCTCCTGAATCTGCCAACTTACACACTGCCTTCTCCACCTACTCTGACAGAACACACCACACCACCCTTGATCTCCTTGTGTCCACAGCCCTTGCCAGGAATGATGAGCCAAGACTACCAGTCTCAGCAGCTGACTACCTGGATGTTGTTAGGGCACTTGACCTCTTCAACAATGGGGACCACATTGACAGGTGCACACCAGAACAGGTTACATATTTTGGGATGTTGTCTGAAATCTACAGAGCAACAGATGTAATCAACTGTGCTGTCTCAAAGATACATACTAGGAAACTCAGTGGCACCACCCCACTTTCAGAGGTCATCATGATCAACATGCTAGAATGAGGATCTTTGGAGCTTTTAGAAGCCATCATGGGTGGAGCATATCATCATCTTCTTCATCAACAGATCAGCAAGTTCCTTGCCCCACCTGCTTCCCAACTTCTTGATTGGATTTGCCCAAAACAAGAGGAACCATTGGTTTCTTGTGAAGAAAGGCAGGTGGAACAAGAGAAGATTGACAACTGGAGGAAGGTCAAGTTGCATTTCATCAACTCAGGAGACTTGTATAAGGAGGTTGGTTCTTGTCTTGGGACTGGTACTCACAACTCTGCTTGGGAGGTATTATTGCAGGATGCATCATGGGCCAGACTTCACAAACAGTATCATAATGCTGTCCACTCTACCAACCCTCTCCCTGCTACTCCCTTTGTCCCCATCCCTCTCAACCAACTTTGGTTTTACCTTGGAGGGCAGTCCCCCATTCCCACAGACCATGTCCTCTATCAACATGCATGCTTCCAGTGCCATTACTTGGGACATTGGTCATGCTGCAATGGACATGGCTCCCACTTTACTCTGGCCCTCGAGGAACTGCCTACTCCATCACCATCATTGCCCATCTCCTCACACACTTGTTCCTGCATCTATACTACTCATCGACCCCTTTCCACACACCCCACCAACATGCCCAGTCCGTCCTCAAGGGTCTGAGGACCTTAGAGGGGGGGTGATGTTATGCCTGCATTAGGGGTCTTTCCTTTTTCGACTTCTCATGGTCATGTGTGTCACATGCCTTGTCATGTCCCTAATAATTGTTGCCATTCTAGGGGTTCATATGCTTCAAGGCTCTCTTGGATCTCCTGCTGTCAAGGTATTTCCAATACCTGTCAAGACCAGGTCTATGCTTTGATCCAGTGTTCCACTGCCCTCTCTGATGGATGACATGTTGTCTTCTTACTTTTTGACTTGCCTCTGACTCGTTTATATTGCTCTTTTGTTGTATTATAGCTCTGGTGTCTGGCTCCTCACTGCACATTGATGGCACAGTCAGTATAGCCTTTGTTCCCTTGACTATCCCCATCATCTGACACCATATGACTCTGCCTGACTTATTTATTTGACTGATCATTCTGTTGATTACTGTGGATATGCATCATGTCATGTCTGGGCATGACTGGTATGGTACTCATACTTACAGGTATATAGTCTGGAGTACTTCGTCCTGTATCCTCAGTTTTTCAATAGCTTGCAACTCAGCTTCATCCCTTTGCTTTCATCCTTGTTCCTTCCTCCATGTGACAACCTTAGGGACCACCAAAAGGATCAAACCTTTGTTGGACTTCAGCAATAACTGAGCCATAGGGGTAATGACAAGTTTGCCCTGTAGACTCCCCCTTGTGCACTTCATGCCTATTCCATTTGAAGAAGTCACTGCACTCAGGCATAACAGTGGCTTCTTTCCCCAAAATGAACAGAACCCCCCTTGTGGTGGGCTCCAGATGTAGGAATTGGTAATCAAAGGTACCTATAAATAGTAATTAGTCAGTAATGGGCAAGTATGTGCTCAACCCAAAAGGGAGATCCTGTTTTGGAGAAACAAATTGTAGTAAAAAGTGTAAAAATGCGAAAAAGAACCAAATACTTAGCTCTGCTTGCTGTCTGCTATACTAAACCTCTTGCCAGTCCTCCTGGCCCTTTGGGTACTCCCCAAAGTAATAAAACTATCCTCAAAAACTCACCAAAATGTGAGACAATATCACCCTGCTGCTGAGGGCCTCTGACATGAACTGCTTGTATGGTAAACTGAACTTGTGCAAACACAGCATGTGTGCTTAGTCAGCAATGTGGCTGCTTGCCACCAAGTCCAGTGGTACAAACATGAAAACAAAAGCAAGAAACAAAACAAGTCCCTCAACCCCTAAACTCCTGACCAAGATGAATTCTCCTAGGGGACTCAAACTTGTTCCCTACACCATCCATATGTTGCAACAATATAAATAATACTACTGAAGGGCCTGACCTTATGTTGTGACTCTATTAAATGATATTAGTGATGGGCCCATCTTTATGTTGCAACAGGGGTATGGCTTATTATGAATGGGCCTGTCTATATGTTGTGACACCATAAATGATATTACCCTGGGCCCATCCATATGTTGCCAACTTTGTATTCTAATCATAGATGGGCCCATCCTTACCCACCACAGGCCCTCCCATATGTTGTGGTAATGCACTTATGGGCCCATACATATGTTGCTCTCACTCTAGTCCCTTGGGCCTGTCCACATGTACCAGCTAATCTATTTAGGCAGGCCCATCTCATGGTCTATATAAGTGTTGGTGTTTTGGCACACAGGCTGCCCATGTGTTGTGACTAAGTGTGACTACACTATGTGGTGTATGTTGGGAGGTGCTGGAGCCTTGGCTGATGGAAAGGGTCATTTTGCTGATGTACTGAAAGACTAAGGTAAAATTTATTACAACTAAGTGTACTCTAACTGCTTATTAAGCAAAGTGGTCACATGCCCAAATCCACCAAGGACTGGGACTGTTTCACTCCAACATACTTGAGCCATCAGACTATATATCATAAGGGACCAGACCATGAGGCATCTGTATGTATGGAATATGCCATTGGTTGAACAATGACTACACATGTCAACAGTGAGACAAGAGACAGTAACACTACTGGTGGAAGTAAAGAGCCATCAGAGCAAAGAGAAGATGGCTCAAAAAAAGAAGAAACAGTCCAACAATTCAACATATGGTAGAAATGAATGGAAATAGGGGGTAACAACACATGCTGTCACAAGAGGACACATCAAGATGAATAGCCACAAAAGAGGGTGAGTCAGAGTCCAGAAATGGAAACATACAGGGGTGCTGTGATGGAAGACTAAGGTGAAAATCAGACACAAAAGCTGTGCACCATGTAACACAGTGCAAGAGCTAAATCAACATACCAATTGAGGAAACAACGAATGGAATTCTGCAACAATATGAACTCACAATACATGGCCCCTATCAAGTAGTTGATACATTAAACTCTGTCATTTTTTTTCCACTATTTTGGCAGCTGCTTTGCTGAAAAAACTAATTGAGCATGTCTAACTTACAAAGAAATGATAGCTTCACATCTGATTTGCCTTGGCAATATCCACAAGTATAGGGCACAAAACTTCTACATTCTCACCATGTGCTTGAAGAGCTGCTGCAATGTCATCAACAACTCTTTTTTGGATACCTGACTTCTGATACTCCTTGACAGCCAATGACAAGTATTGTTTGAGGTCATCTTGATTTCCCTCATTGGCTTGCAACAAGAAGTACAAATACTCAACCACCAAAATTGATCCTGTAATGATAAGTATATGTATGTGTATGTCTTTGAATGGGAAAATATGAGTCACCAATGCCATGCTCCACAATATATCTCATTGAAGGTGGCAAGGCTGTTGACAACATGGGCATTGACACAGAAGCTGATTCAAGTGATACATGAGGCTATCAAGTATTTGAAACTTTGTCAGAGTAAATAGCTAACAGACAGATCATGGAACCTACCACCTGGGATATATATCATGACCATCATGGCTTGCAATGTGGATGAGAAACAATAGATACAAACCAACTAAAATGTCATTAGTAACCATTGGCCATTAAGATTGAATGAAGGACTCATACATGCTGTAAGAGGTAATTAGAAGCAGCAGTAGCCCAAAGTTAGAGCAACTGACATACTGATGGTTGTATGGAGAAGGATAAAGTTGAAGCCAGAATCCACAAGGGGCTACTTACATCCTGAAGGCAGATCATTGGCATGCTTGGCATGCTTACATGAAATGAACTTACAAACTATACAAGGTTATAAAATAAACATCAATCACACACAGGAAAACAAACCTTCTATCAAACCAAACCCAGGACATAGTGGCAACTATGGTCAGGACATATCCATCACTGCCTATCTTGATTTCACTCACATCCTATACACCCATATCCACAAGGATGGGAGGAAAAATGATGAGCATGCACCCAGACCTACTTGCCATGATTCCACTTACTTCCTACCAACCCATAATGTGATGTCCACAGTGGTGGGAGAAACTACAGTCACCAGTCATCCACCACCAATGACCATGATGCAACTCACAAACTATGATTGACCCATATCCAGAAGAGTGGGAGCAAAGATAGTTAGCATACATCCACTACCACATGCCATGACTCCACTCACTCGCTATCAACCCAAGTCCACAAGTGTCAGAACAAACACAGTCATCATACATCCACCACCTCCTGCTATAATTGCTGCACTTACCACCTGTTAACCCAAGTCCACAAGGGTGGAAGCAAACATCATGAGCATGAATCTACCACCACCTATCAGCCATTACTGCACTCACACACTATCAGCACAAGTCCATGAGAATGTGGTCAGCATACATCCTCCTCCACCTGTTGCAACTCCACTTACTGGGTATCAAGCCATGTCCACAAGGGTGGGGGCAAACATAGTCAGCATGCATCTATTACATACCACCATGGCCACACTCACATCCTATCAATACATGAGCACAAGGGTGGGAGAAATATGATGAGCATGCATCCACCACATCCTGCCTGACTCCACTCACCTTCTATCAACCCATGTCCACAAGAGTATGAAAAAAATGGTCATCATTCATCCACTGCTTCCTACCATAAGTCCACTCACTGGCTATTTACCCAAGTTTACAAGGGTGTGAAAAAACATGGTCATCATGCATCCACCAGCTGTCATGACTCCACTCACTTCCTGGAAAGCCATGTCCACAAGAGTGGGAGTAAACACAATGAGCAAGCATCCACCACCACCTGTGACAACCCCACTCACTTCCTGGCAACCCATATGCACAAGGGTTGTAGTAAATATGGTCAGCATGCATCCCACCACCACTTGCAATGACTCCTCTCACAAACTATCAACCCAAGTCCACAAGTGTGGGAATAACCATGGTCAGCATACATCCATCACCAACTGCCATGACTCCTCACTTTCTATCAACCCATGGCCACAGGGGTTGGAGTAAATATGGTCAGCAATGCAACCTTGGCCAACTGTCTCCCATAACTCCACTTACAAACTATCAACCCAAGTCCACAATTGTGGGAACAAACATGGTCATCATGCATTCACCAATAGCTGACATGACTCCACTCACTTCCTATCAACCCATATCCACAAGCATGGGAGTAAACATGTTCATCATGCATCCTTCATCACCTTCCATGACACCACTCACTTCCTATCCACCCATGTTTACAAGGACAAGAATAAACATGGTCAGCATGCATCCACCACCTCCTGCTATGATTGCACTAACCAGCTATACCCATGTCCACACAGGTTGGTGTAAATATGGTCAGCACAAATCCACCACCAGCTGCCATGACTTCACTCACAAACTATCAACCCAAGTCCACAAGGGTTGAAGCAATCATGGTCAGCATGCATCCACTACCTACCATGATTCTGCTCACATCCTACCAATCCATGCCACCAAAGTGCAAGAAAACATGGTCATCATCTATCTACTACCACACTGCAAGGTCACTCACTTCCTATCAACCCATGTCCACAAGCATGGGGTTAAACATGGTCAGCATGTACCCATACCTGCCATGGCCCCACTCACAAACTATCAAGCAGTGTTCAAAAGGGTGGGAGCAAACATGGTCATCATTCATCCACCACAGCCTGCCATAATGTCACTTGCTTCCTATTAACCCATGTCCACAAGGGTGAGAGAAGACATGGTCAGCATCCACCACCTCTTGCCAGGACTCTGCTCACTTTCTGTCACCCCATGGTGGGACCAAACATAGTCAGCATGAATCCAGTACCACCTGCCAGGACACCACTCACAAACTATTCCCCCCATGTCAAACAGGTGGGAAAAAACATGGTTAGCATGCATCTTCCTCCACCTGCCATAACTCCACTTACCATCTATTAGCCCATGTCCACATGGGTCAGAGCAAACAGGTCAACATGAATCCACCTGCCATGACTCCACTCACTCCCTATCAGCCAATGTCAAGAAGAGGAGGAAGAATACATGGTCATCATACATCCTCCACTGCCTGCCATGACTCCACTCACATACTATTCACCAGGTTCACAAGTGTTGGAGTACACATGATCAGCATGCATCTTCCTCCACCTGGCACAACTCCACTCACTTGCTGTCACCCCATGTCCAAAAGGGGTGATAGCAAACATGGTTAGCATATTCACCACCTCCTATCATCACTCCACTTACAAACTGTCATCCATGTTCACATGGGTAGGACCAAACACCATCAACATGTATCCACCACCTGCCATGATTCCACTTACATACTGATAACCCACATGTATGTGCAAGGGTGGGAGCAAACATGGTCAGCATGAATTCACTATCTACCATTGCTCCACTCACTGCCTATCAATTGATGTTCACAAGGGGTAAGAGTAAACATGGCCATCAAACATCCACCACCTCCTGTCATGACTCCACTCACTTGCTATCAACCCATGTCCATATGGATAGGATTGAACATGGTCAGCCTGTATCCACCACCTACCATGACCACTCTCACCTGCTATTAACCCATGTCCACAAGGGTGGGAGCCAACATAGTCAGCATGAATCCAGTACCACCTACCATCATAGCACTCACTTGCTATCATCCCCAAGTCCACAAGGGTGGGTGCAAATATGTCAGCATGCATCCACCACCACCCACAATGACTGCACTCACTTGCTATCAACCCAGATCCACAAGGGCAGGAGCAAATATGGTCAGCATGCATCCTCTACCACCTTCTACTACCCACTCACTAACTATCAACCCATGTTTACCAGGGTGGGACCAAACATAGTCAGCACTTATCCATCACCATTTGCCATGACCCCACTCACTTTCTATCAACCCATGGTACACAAGGGTGGGAGGACACATGGTCATCATACACCTGCCACCTACTGCTGTGATTCCACTTACTCGCTATCAGAAAACACAGTTAGCATACATCCACCACCCCACCATGCCTTTGCTCACTTGCTATTATCCCCCAGAAGACAGAAATTGGCAAGTCAGTGTATGCTCATCACCTCCATTCATGAAATCCTTCATACATATGGAAACCATATTGCCAGAGCAGCTGCTAGTCTTGTTGGCTCCCAATGGTATAATCTCTGCTCTATGCATCCCTTCAATGCCCTTCATGTTGTCAGTACATGTCAGAGTTTCAGCTGTAGAACTTACTTCATTACAGCAAATTCAATGCACAGTTCTAAGTTGGACTGCTGTGTTGATATAAGAAGTATTTGCAGGTTTTCCTCATTGAGGGCTTCTGCTGTACACTTCAGTAGGGCAGTACAATCTGCATGTTCTTGTTGCATCCCTGAAGTGACCTCTGATTAAGTCTGCTATACATCAAGGCAATGACAAAGCACTTCCCTGTCAATGGCAAGATGGCACAGGGTGGAAACTGGAAATCATACAACCACCCCCTAACCTTAGTAATATTCTCTTTCAACTTCCTTCCTTCTATCTCAGCAATCCATGCCTTATCCATCCCTAATCCACACTCCTCAAGCTCCTTAATAGCCTCAAGCTCCAATGTGTCTGCCTTTGTTAACAACACAATCACAGGCACTATGAAAACATCAATTCCACACAGGCAAGCATAACAAGACATAGTGTAGACATACCACCACCTGTGTCACATCCATCAAAAAACCTCCTTTCAGCAGTTGTGACCATCCTGTGGTTGTCAGTCAATGGGATGCAAAACCTGACCAATCACTTCATGAGGAACATATCACTCTATTCAGGTGTCAGCTATGAAACTCTTACCAGATAGCATGTACCCGCTCCTCTAGCTTGGGAGTCTTGGCACGATCCATTACGAATTCCTTCATTTTCTCGAACTGTGCCTCGCTTCCAGCTTCGAAACCACAGGAGTCATGAAACACAAAACCAGGGTTACTCTCGAACACCAGCTCATACTCGATGTTGTGGTATCCACGCTGAATGCCATCAATACCATCTTCTATACAATCTAGCGATGGAAGATCTCACCCCCTCTGAACCTTCAACCTAGACATGGTCAACTATACTGATAAGGTACAGGGAACTACAGCACGTTCCACATACCTTCCTTCCTTCACCATCGAAAACTTCCGGCTGATCTTTTGTGTTACAGAGCCTCTGCAAGATAGTTGTTTTACCTGCATTTGCTCTGCCCATCAAGAGGACACGGAAACGATTAATGCGCTTTACATGGCTTCTAGCTTCAGTGGGATCCATGCGATAAGTAAAGGCTGTCACCAGTTAACGATATCAGACTTCACCCCACTATCGCACATAAAATACTTGCCCTTGGGTGTCCCTGCAGTTGATGGAGGGACAGCATCATCCGCACTGCCCTGGGGAGAATGTGCACGGGAAGTAACATCCGTTAGGGCAGGAAATCCCACAGTGGCTACAGGAGAATTCGGATAGGTAGTTCTGGTAGGCGCAGGAACAGCCACGGTTGGTGCAAGAGCATGACCACCTGCATTGGCGGGGCAGAACATGGGCAAGTTAACGCCGACCAGTAAATATTCTCCTAGCTAGTAGGCGCACCTGTTTGAGTGTCGCCAGTGGAAACGATACCCGTTTGTGGAGTAACCACGCCGCTGTTCAGAGATCGATGAGGGCGCTGCAGTAGGCGCCGCAATATGCCGCAACACCCAGGAGCCATGAATAATGCAGTAATGAAAATCCAACTGAAAAGGAAGCTTTCAAACGTCCTGCGAGGTAGTGGGCGTCGTATGACTGAAGAGAATAATGAGTAGACGATTGGGAAGGGTTGGTAGAGCTGTAGACTCCGCAAACACGCGATCAACGCACCTGCTAGGTGTGTTCAGCGGGCACTGCCACAGTGTCAGCAGTGCTGAGTCAGTGACAGGTGAGTATCCCGAACTGAATCGAGTTCATTGCATAGCTATAGCTTGTTCATTGTTCGGTGCGCCTATGACTGTCCCCCCATCGCCGTGCTGGCACATCCTATGCTATCCCATCCTCCTGCGGATATACCAGACGGGAAACACCATGTACGAATGCAAGATTCAGAGTAGCAGAGTTCGCTCTCGATGAAATACAAGAGATCGATGGCATTGCATTTTATCAAAGAGATTATGCACTGGGAAAAGTACGTCCGTCATAAATCGTGATTTCAGTGTACGAGACGCATTTGTCTCCAGTTTTGATCAAGAACATAGAATGCAGGAAGGAGAGAGACGGGACAGAGGGGAAGATCTGGTCCCTCTTCATCCCAGAGCGGCATCACACGTCTGCCCTATCACGTTACGTCGGACAGAGAAGCCGTGGACTCCCTTTCTCAAGACGCTGTGTATCGCGATGACTGGTCGTTGACGCTGAGTCGCAGGTCACCCAGGGCGGAATGGGTGGGGCGATGCCTACGACGACAGCGTCAAAAGACAATATAGGCGGCACTCAGTTCCGAAGACCACAGCAGCCACCAGTTAGTCGGAGAGAACGGTTGTTTTCCATCGGATTTGGTCTACCCCGTGTTGCGTTGGATCTGTAAGAAAGAACCAACGCCGCCGTGAACTCACGTAGTTCAAGCATCCATCAGGGGTATTGGTGCAATACTTATCATCGGTGGTGATATGACACGAGTGTAACGGGCATCTTCGCAGGGAACAAGTGGCGTACCTTTCTTCTCCACAGGGGGAGCTATGCAACTTCGAATCATACGGTGATTTTAACCCTGTGGATGGTATTTCTAAGAACTCAAGCCTGGGCATGAATGTAGCGGCCACCACGCGATCAGGGCAGTCAGGTACTCCACCTCCGTCGTCCATCCTAGCCACCCGTTCGACTCCTGCTCAGGCTACTCTTTATTCTGCGCAGTCGCGTTCTCGATCTCGTGGTCACTCACATTCTCTATCTACTTCACACCCACCTACATCTTTGCGAAACCCGCGAGACCCATTTCAACACACATGCTCTTGTTGGGCTGATTATCTGGGCTCCGGTAAGCCAGGATGTTTTCTCGTTGCGGAGTCGATTAGCAGGCGTACAGCTGCGTCTCCATCGCTGGGGCCACAACACGGAGTCAAGGGGATGAGGAATATGAGTGCATCGTGAAAGAGCGTGGTGACATTCTGTCTCCGCGGCTGATTATATATGCATATGCATCCTCGTCGCCAGGGGATGCAATATTCCAAGGCACCGTCAGGTTGTCTTGGCATCCGGAGTGATTATTAGATCACGCAGACTGCAATCTTTCTCCTACGAGACATGTAATTGCGGTCTTGGACAGGGTTCCATAGAGTTGGTTGTACCTGGTCGTTACTTGAGTGGAGGCTCAATTGTCCGAAAGTTGTCAAATCATGTGGTCGTTGCCTTGAACACCCAAAAAAAATAACAAAAATAACAGCGGGTTGCTACGACGGTTACCAGACCTTTACCACCTCGCTCCGTAACGTAGTCCGCAGGACCTACTACAATATCCCTTCGTACGTACAAAGCACCAACGTCCGATGTTGTCGCACAGTACATACCAATAAACCGAAGGAATAACTTCAACGGAAGAAGAAAGGGTATAAGACGAGAATAAAAAGTTGAATAAAAAGAAGTAACAACCGGCTCCAATATAACCCGGGCAACAAGAGGAGCCGGAAAAAAATGCCGTACGAAGTTAGAGGGTGAGGGCCTTAGCGCACTTAATCGCACCATGGGAGATCGTCATCGTCACCACCGTCGCCTGAAGGGTTGGCAGGAACCGCTGTTGGAGGAGGTTGAACAACAGATGGAACGGGAGAACCACCTGGAGCAGGGGGAACCTCGACCGTACAGGCGGTACACAACACCTGTTTCAAGAATCTAACACCCGAAAATACCGCGAAAAAAGCAACGTACCTCTCCAACGTAAATATTGGAACAGTCCTCGTTGATCTGGGGGTTGTTCATGTATAAAATGGTGGTATTGACGCCGTAAGCAGAGGAGATATCATCGCAGGTGTCCCCGAGTTGCACCACGTAGGTGGTCTGACAGTCTTCGCCGGCAAAGCCCAGGCAAATCGACTCTCCGGGAGTGAGATTGTCACACTGGGGGTCGACGTTCCCGTAGTTTACAACAGCAACCTGGTACCTGGGATCGTCGTGAGACAACAACTATGTGAAGTGGATGGGGATGGCATACGTGGAAGCGTTGTTGGCGGCAGAGATACTGTCGCACGTGTCGCCCTCTTGAACGGTGTAAGTGCGACTGCAGCTTTGTGCGGCGGCGACTACAAGTTAGGGCGTCGATGGGTCAACAGGACTGAGAATGTATGGGACAGATAACGGACACGTACTCTGAGCAGCAAGAAGGACAGCAAAAGAAACGACAGATTTGAAGAACATGACTGTGAGTTGGAAAGAGTGCGTTGTTTCGAACGAGCGAGAAGGAGACGGGGCGGGGGAAGAAGACAAGTTGAACTGCCAGCTGAGACACTCCATCGGATTTATATAAGCCGACACCTATTTTGGCGCGTGGAAATATCCGAGAAGCACTAATGATCAGTTGCCAGCGCCCGTCACTACGTGGTCTTACATCTTGTCAACGTCCTACCAGACAGTGAGGCGGACTCGCGAAGCCCCAGGACTCAGAGAAGCTTCTGTTTCTCGTTCTGGAAGTGGAAAAAGGTAAATCTCTTGAGGAACACCGTGAACTCCTGTCAAACCTTGGGAGGTAAGTAACAAGCTTTCAGGCGTTCCAATTATTGTTGGTTGACAGCTGGGGACCACTGGCAAGTTCAACATTCAACAGGTACAGCCTGTGGCATATCTTTGATGTAAGTCAATTCCTCGTGGAAGATCACCGGTTTTGGCGTCCTCGTGTTGCCATAAGTCACGAAGTCTTCGCAGATCTCACTTAGGGTATCATGAAGTATAACTTTATTGTAAGGGACGCAACGACCATATTCTACACGTGTCTTCCCGCAACTTCCCACTCAAACTCAACTGGTCCAAAGGTGTAAACGACCTACCACGACGGCTAGGTGCATGTGCGTGGTTATGGAGTATCATACTTCATCATTACGTTCCAGTTCTCTGCGACGTTCAAGTTCCCCACCTCTGCTCTTACTGCGATCCGTTACTTCCAGTCCAAAACCCTCGGAATGATCCAACACATTCACATCAATGATGAAATTGACTACGCATCACAATGAGGTCCCCCTATACACGCTAAGTTGACCTTTACCCAGGCGTACCATGCCTGTCCACTGGTTTAGCTTGCGTGTCCGGAGGAAGCTTAGAACTCGCCCACTTTGGTTATCTATGATGATTGCAAAGTTGGCTGAAAACATCTGACCGCCACGTTCGAAGTTCTTCATGGACTCGGCCCCGACAGTCTTGCGGTACTCCTCGCTCGTGAAGACCTCCATGAGGGTTTCGGAAGTAGTCATCCCATCGAATGACGCGACGATGAAACCAGAATCGACAAGAGCGTTGGAGACGACCTCATGAGCATGAGCCTGCGTGGACGTGCCGAAGCCACCAGTTCGGCGTCGATCGATGATACCCATATCGAACACGTTCCTACTTGCTCATACTTGAGGATCTTGATGATCTCAGGCGGGTTAAACAGCTTCGGGCGCTCGCTGAGCCAGAAGTCCTCAACGTCCTCTTTGGAAACACCTTGAGGCTGCCGGTGATGAGGACGTGGTCCGTGCGGAGAGACATTGTGGGTACGAAGGTCGCAAGAAGACTATCAGAGTATATGCAAGTATACGATGCAGAAGGGACGATAGTCCTCCACTCACGAAACTCAAGTAAAGAGTATGAACAGTGCTTTGAGGCCTTCTGGAGAACAGCGGGAGAACATGCTGGGGTACATATGCTCCCTCGGATACCTGTGCGGTGTACTAGGCACGGGGAGGGGTATCGTCAAGATTGTTGTCATCAATGGCGACAGTTATTTATCGTTGTTGGACAACCCACGGCGAGGTTTGCACAGGATCACTGGGTGAACGACCAAGCGGGCACCGTCGTTGTACATGTTCAGCTGTCTCATATAGACGGCGGATGGACAGGGGGGGACAGACGGAGTTGACTGCACTAGAGTTGAAGGGATTAAGCCATCAAGCTGTAAACCTCGGGTTCTTCATCGTAGGTAGTGTGGGCTGATTCCTGAAGCTCTCAACTATGACATCGTGCTCAGCACTCACATCTGTTAATTTGACGGAACGATCAAAACCTGTGTATATCGTGTATATCACATCAAAGCAAAGCAAGCATAGCGAGGAATATCCAGATAACTGTGTGACGCTCTTTATATCTCTACAAAGAGCTTGATATATGTATGGTATATGCATGATGGGGTATGGTTGTTATAGATAGCATAGTTTATGACAGGGAACGGAATGCAGGAGCCGGTGAAGTCGGCGATGGAACGAAGTTGGAAATATCACATATAGTTGTGCGGATCACTGCAGCGAATGGCACGCGGTCCTCGTGCGTAGTCGCACGATATTGAAGCCGGTTACGCCTAGTTGTCACCTTTGTCGAACTCGACGGGATCGCAACGCTGTTGCGCGCAATCAGCAGAGGAGTACAAGAGAAAAATAAGACAGACTTGCGTTTGAAATAGCACACATAACAGCATCCGCCATGTTCTCCGTCATTTGTTTGTCCACTTCTGTTGTCCGCCGTAAATGTTGCGGTGTCCGACTACAAACGTGTAAAAAATCTACGAAAAGCAAACCGAATGCAGAGCCGCCTACCCGATATAGTGATGTGTCGATGCTATTCCGACTATCTCTGTGTCTAATCGAATGCCGGCTCCCGTCTCCCATAGACGTTACGTGGCGGCCCTAAGAAGACCTTAGAGAACTACAAACAGTAAGTAGAGTGCAGAGCAACTTACCCGGCCCATATTGCTTGGCTGCCTTTCGCGTCTGTCTTCTTTAATAGGTGCAACTACCAGCGGCTATATACGACTATCCTCCAGCCGTATGATGTTGAGGACTCACATTTTTGAATTTCGCAGCTTGCATGATCTCCGGCGAAACCCGTTTTTGCTCTTGGGTACCCCGAGGAGATTTTCGTCTCCGAAAAAGTTTTGATAACTTTGAAAATAGACCAGTCTTGCGGGGTTCAAGGTTTGTGCCCGGAAATACTGGTAAAGGGCCTTTAATGTCAAGCTTCCGAACGGAAGATTCTGATACGGAAGCTGATGCCACAGAAGGGGGATCTGTGCAGGCGTGAATCACACATGTATTCAGTTCTGACTCTCCGCTTTCCATATGGAAAGTATGACTCTGCGGAACAGTGTCTTCTCGTCCCCGCACTACGTCTTCTGACCGGAAAACCTGCCCATGGATGGTTACAAGCGGTAATTTAACATGGAGTGAATGACACATACTTCTAATTCCGACTCGTTGCTTGCTATCTGGGGGATGTACGCTTTAGCGTCTTCTCGCTCGTCCCCTGCCTCGCCCTTCTGGAAAACCTACGAAACCGCGGAAGGTTATGAAGTATGGCCTAATTATGGCACAAATCACGCGCACTTGCGATCCAAACACATTTTCTTCTGTTTGGGGGGGATAACAGTCCGGAGCAGGTTCTTCTCTCTCTGCCCCTACCTTGATGGGAGACGAAACCTGACGTATCATACAAGGTCAGAACGGGAGGACGATCGTGTCAGAATCATCCGTATTACCGATATCAATTCGTCTCCTTCCGCATGGGGAGAATTCTGATGCTCAGCGTCTTCTTGCTCGGTCTCTCCTTCATGCCGGAAAGACTGTGTCGTCAAGACGGTTATAAAGGGTGGGTCGCAATGGTATAAATCGACCCACATCTGATTCTTGCCCGTTCCTTTCTGCATGAACAGAATCCCTGTGCGAGTCAGCGTCCTCTCGTTCCTCTCCGATCTCTCCCTGTCGGAAAATCTGTGGCATAGTGAAAGGATCATAAAAGAGAGGATTATTGTGGTACGAACTGCACGTATATACGATCCCGAGTCGCTTCTCTCTATTTGCAGGTTATCGCTCTGCTCACCAGGGTCTTTTCGGCTCGTCTCCGCTTCATCTGGGGGCGAAACCTGTGATGCCATTCAAGGTCAGAATGGGAAGATTATCGTGGCGTGGATCATGCGTACCACCGATGCTGATTCGCGTCTGTCTGGATGGACGGTATCACTGTGTGAGTCAGCGTCTTCTCGCTCCTTTGTTGACTCTCCACTCTGGACGACTGCTCCCCCTACCTCGCTCTGCCGGAGAACCTGCGAAACCACGGAAGGTTATAAAGGTGAGGCCTAATTATAGCACGAATCACGCGTACTTGTGATCCCAACACGTTTTCTTCTGTTGAGAGGGAATAGCTCTCTGGATTAGGTTGTTCTTGCTCTGTTCCTATCTCGCCTGAAGATAAAACCTGTCGTGTCATACAAGATCACAATGGGAGGAATATCGTGGTTGGCAGGATTATCCGTATTACTAATTCCAACTGGTCTCCTTCTGTATGGAGAGAATCATTCTGAGGATCAGGCCGCCTCTCCATCTTGCGGGAAAGCCCGCGTCGTCAAGACGGTTATAATGGGAGAGCTAGGATGGTGCAAATCAACTCACATCTAATTCTTGCTTGTTTCTCTCTGTATAGACAGAATATTTGTGTGGGTCAGCGTCCTCTCTCACCTCTCCTACCTCTCCCTGTCGGGACATTTGGAACCAGGAATATTCTGGGGAAAGCACAACCTACTGAGAGGACATGAAGTATGGAGAGTTAGCCAATTACATCATTTGTGGAAACACGCTAGAACCACAGTAATCCAGAGTAATCCCATACATACTACTGCATTCTGGTTACTTGATTTTTAAATAACCTCCCATAGACCTCTCGAGTGCCCATGCTTCCTCATAATGTATACTACCCCATGGCCTATCCTGAAAGGGTACAGACAGGGTACCTAGATTTTTCCGACATAGGAATAGCACATGTAACAGATGACACACATGGCCGGTGCAACGTAGTTCCAGCCATTTTGATCTTTAGTATCCTTATCGCCTTCAGAATCTGCATGCGGCAACAGCCAGGTGTCAACCAAACGTATCCCTAACTGTCTGGTTACGAGACCAGGTACAGCATGCTGGCAGTTGGCACAGCAGTGCTGGCGACTATATCGTCGTGTAAATCGAAGGAAATAACACATGTAACAAATGACACACTTCACTGTTACACCACCAAAAATTTCAGCCACTGGCCCATCCTAGGAAGAAGGCACTATCCAGATATCAGTAGGTTGCTAATTAGTCATGCTCATATGTGCTCACTACGAGTCAGAAAACACCGAGAGGAGAGAGTTAATGTGTTGTCAAGATCCAGGGCTGAAACTCTCAGGATTGCACGTACAGGTCTCTCAGCACCGGGTAAAACATAGGGCCTGCTGTATTATCCACTAAGCCAGAGGAAATGGTACACGAAATGAAAATGACGCACTGATTTATAGGTCCAAAATAACGCGGCAGCGGTAAGTTGCCTTGGAAGGAATTCATTATTGTTTATCTACGGCCGGGTAACAGCTTGTTAGGGATGTTCGATGATCACCTCATGGAAACTCACAAGTGAACGAGAGGGGCAAGGCAAGGAAGTGTTTGTGTGAACGAGGCATGCACCGCCAGACTAGTTACATATATAATGACCCTCGTAGCACAGCAAACACAGCAAGTCTTATCATAGTAGTCTGGATACAGTTCAGCAGGTATACGTAGGTACCTGCCTGTCTACGAAGCATGTCAAACTGTCAACACTAGTGCAGGGGGGCAGAATTGTTTTCGGTCAATATGTGCCAGTACGATAGCACAACGGCATCTGGCGAAATGTCACAAGGTGGCAGAATTACTTTTATGGTTTTCCTGTTCACCATGTCTAGAACCATTGTAACTGAGTGATGCGTGATACTAGAGACCCTTCGATGATATCAGTGAGCCAATGTCCCAAGCTGCGGTGCCTTCTGATTGGTTTTCTTGAGTGCAGTAATCTATAATGTTGCAAGGGACGCAAGCATATTCTACACGTGTCTTCCCGCAACTTCCCGCTCAAGCTCAACTGGTCCAAAGGTTTAATAGCGCAAGGCGAAGCTAACTGTGCGCACCTGCTCGGGGTAGAACGGCGAGTCTATCTCCACACGAATATCTTCCCTCTTTTGACCTCCGCATTAGAAGCTGTCCATCGTGGGGTGGTTGTTGACAGAAGGCCAACTAAGATCAATCGGCGTCGGCCACAAGCATGGATGTTGGTGGGTGCTGTTCACGTTGGACGTCATGCAGATCCTGAGTGAATAGCGCTGATTATCATGGTCCAAATATTGGCTCTCCTATTGCTGATCTGAGTATGCTTGGTTATGGCATGGAATTGTTATGGTAAGGTCCGTTGAGTCATTTAATTTAGGTTGCAGACGTACAGGGGGACGATGCAGGGTCCAAGTCGAAAGAGTCGAGCCTTCAAGTTGGAAACGGCAATTCGTCATTGCACGCAGACAGTGAGCTGATTCTGAACAGTGAGATCATGCATAAGTTAGACGTTACATTTACCAGTGTTTTCCGTAAATCGCGCGGCACGAGCAGAAGCCTTGGGAACGATCGATTGACAAAAACCTTGTCGTCATCCCATCGCAGCAAAGCGACCATAGCTATAAGTAACCACGAACGAAGGGCCGGAGGCTCTTTCTTTGTGAAGAGCTTAGCCCAGTCCTCGCAGGCAGTCATGGTACTCTGAAATCAGTTGCACTTAGCTATCACTGTATCGGGTTTGGCTGCCTCGCAACGCTGTTGCAAGCAGTCGGCGGAGAAGCACAACAGAAATAGTAGAATTCGCGTGTGAAAAGCATACAACAGTATCCATCGTGTTCACCGTCCCTTGTCCGTCCATCTCTGGTACGAGTGGTAGATGTTATGGTGTCAGGCTGTAGAGACATTAGGAATGTACTGAAAAGCAAGCGTGGGAAGTGTGTTCGCATTTCATTCAGAGTCTTTAGAGGCAAGCCGTCAAAACCTGTCGCAATATACAGTATCATACTGCCCTCGCAAACCTATCCTTGATCTGTTTCACGATATCACGAAGTTGTGCCTCTCCAGCGGCTTCCATGACGTCAAGGTTCCAACGGTTAGCAGGTGCAGTATCACTGACTCCTAAGATGGGAGCAGGGACAATCTCCGCACGGCTGCCCTGCGTATCGAGGCTGTAGAAACATAATGTCGTTCCCAGAACGCTGATAGCGTAGAGAGTATCCTAGGGGGCAGGCGGCTGCAAACACATGTTTAGATGACGGACGACATCTGAGTACAGATTACCTACCAGCAGTGTCGGTCATGCGACTTCTGATCTGCTCATCTGCCTTCTCACGTTCTGATGGGATATCGAGGTAGCTTGGATGCCTCAACTCCAAGATTAAAACCGGTTTGTTCTTCAGAAGAATCTGGAACACGAAGACAATGGGGTGTTGAGACCCCTTCGGCTGACAGGAACCCGACTGTGAAAGGTCCATCTGGGGGAAAGAGGAAGTTGAGAAGCTTGTTATAGGGGCCAAAATAGTCCCCTTCGTTTGTATGCGGTGCGAAGGATGTTAAACAGGTAGGCAATTTGTTCCGGCCACATGGTGGTTGGATGGCAGACGTTTGCAGGTGCAGCGGGAGAAAGGTGGCAGTGCCAAAGTTCCAATGTGAGTGCAGAGTTCGGGCTCTGGGCAGAAATGAAGGTGCGACCACGAAAACAGACAGTGCGGTCACAGCTGACTCAGTGCCCCGTCACAGTGAGGCTGACCCGAAATGGTAGAACGGGGGAGCGCTGCCAGCGACCTAAACAGCCATGGCGCAGGCCTACGGACATGCAGACACCCTGTGAGCAATCGTGCACCTCCCCCCCCCCTCGCTGCACTTGTTGCTTCCTAATATGTAAGTATTACTAAACTGAACCATTACGTGACCTGTGAAGTCGACGAAGGCTTCACAACCTAAAGCGGCCAATCACACGTTGAGTCTGTTACACATGGCAGCAACTTTTGCAATAATACTTTCATGCGGAATCATTAATCAGCTTCCATGCGACAGAATGGACTGCCAGAGACCCACGACAATCTTCAATTGACCATGCACTTCTCTGTGTCGTTAAAGGGGAAACCGGACCTCCCTGGAGCAGTTGAGTAGGCATCATGTGACAATAAGTATAGGCCCCACGAAACCAAGCCAGAGGAAAGCCAACGGAAAGTCAAGGGATATCAAACTATCCTACCGGTCGTGATGTGGAATGGTGCAACACTAAATGTGACCATGGACATGTGGCCTCATGCAATGGTAGGGGAAGACTTCCCACCCACTTTTAACAGAAAGTCGCGCTGTCCCAGAAGTCCAGTAGCCGGTACGGAAAAGTGGGATAGGGATCGAGTCGATGGAGGGTCGAAACAGTTGTAACTTGCGACACGCAAGCAGGTAATGGTCTTGATATCATAATGCCATGACTGTCTACACAATTTCAAATACCTTTGCTTCGCTTTGCAGAATGCTGGCTGAGTCTATGGGCTGAGCGGTAATTAGGGTGGACGAAGCGATCCTTTTGTACTCGTATTGAAGTAATTGGGTCAACAAAAGAGCGTTAAAGGGCCTTCCCAGTGTGGAAAACAGCTGCTCTTTGGATGTGGTGTACAGCTCGGCGGGTGAACCAAGCAACTTCGGATGCCAAGGACGAACGAGCTGCAGAGCACCTGACAATATTGTCGCATTTTCTAGCTCGCTTGGCAGTGTGATCTCGAATGGCCTCAGACCGGAGGCCTGTATTTCATACGTGTAGCTCGGGGCATGTGGATCTGCCGTTTTCAGCTGAATCGCAGTAACACGATGAGCTATACATGGCAGTATAAGGCGGTGGTTGAGAAATCGTGGAAGGGGCAGCTCAGTGAGCGAGCGATGCAGCTTTTGCAGTGCTGTGGAGGATGGCATGGGCTGCTGACCCATCATCAACATATGCTCTTCCGCACTAGCTTGACATGGAGAAAATGGTAGCGTTTGATACGAGGTGATGTCGGCAGGGAAACAGCTATGATAGGGTGATGCGTATCCGACCCAATCCAGAATTGAGATATCCCCAGATTGTGATATGATTTCTGCTAGGAGACGGCCGAGGGCATTTTCAGCAGATTCGCCATACAGGATGGGTAGGCGGAGATTAAAGATTCCGGAAGAGTGCATAGGCGATGTCTTCAGGCCGCGTAGTACGACACAACGATGCCCATCGGAGTCTCGAGCGTACATCTTCCATACCCGGAGAAAAGTTGGTGAGGAACCGGGCCTCTATTCCGGTTGCTCTTTCCAGCTCTTCCAATACAGAGACTTCTGTTTTATGATTCGAAGACTTGAGGTTCTTGTAAAGGGACCAGTCTTGAGTGTAGAAAAGTATATTCTGGGAAGCCAGTAGTTCTTGAAGAGTCCACCCACGTGCGAACCATATGCTACTCTCGAGCGAACCAGTGTTGGGAACGTCAGAAAGATAAACGATGGTCAGGGCGGACCGTCGATACCATGCGAACATTGATCCTATTGCTTCTTGGAACTCGACACTACTGTCTTTGTCTACACAGCATGTGTCGCTCCATGCCCATAAGTAATCCCGCTCCAAAGCAACACGACAGAAGGCTTGGAGCTTTCCAAGGCCCCCGTTTGTCGGTATGCCATCTATCGGGTGGTCTTCGATGTCACGCAATAATGGCTCGCTTTCACCCCAGTGGTGAGAAAGCATGATGTACTGGAAGTATTTTGGAATATTAGCACGAATGATTTCCATTCGCAAATCCGGGTCGCACGTTGTGCAACAAGACAGCAACTGATCATACAGTTCACTGCTCATAAAATGCGACATCTGTGCCTCCCGGTCGCACAGAACACCAGTACTTGTATGTAGCAGCCTAGTTGGCATGGTTTTGAGGGTCTCAGAGATGATATTGTGAATGGCATGCTTGACCGTAGCATGTCCTGCAAGTATGAGAGTTGCATCATGGTCAGGATGCCCCAGTGGACAGAGCTCCAGTGCTGCATGTCCGAACGCAACAGCTTCTTCCAAGTCGGCAACTACTCGCTGGTTATCGTATTTCTTCAGAAGGCAGCGAGAAAAATTGTGGAGTGACGAAGACCGATCGGGATGTCCAGAGGGACATAGCTCCAATACTGCACGGTGCAGCTCAATGACCTCCTCCAAGTCGCACATTTCAGCTTGTTTCAGGAACCTCTTGCAGAGGTCACAAGCGAGACTTCTGAGAGATATGTGATGATCAGGATGCCCTGGGGGACGGAGCTCTAGAGCTAAACGTCCGAGTGCGACTAGCTTCCTCCAAGTCGGCAGCTACTCCCAGATTGTCGTACCTATTCGAAAGAGACAGGGCAAGATTATAGAGCGATGAAGACCGGTCAGGATGCTTGATGGGGCGTAGTTCCAATGCTGCACGGTGCAGCTCAATAGCCTCCTCCAGGTCACACATCGCAGCATGTGTCTGAAACCTCTTCATGAGGCTGCAAGCAAGATTACTAAGAGATGCACCGCGATCGGGATGCCCTGGGGGACGGAGCTCTAACGTTGCCTGTCTAAGTGTAACAGATTCTTCCAAGTGGGCAACTACTCCTCCATTGTCATATTTATTCGAAAGACAGAAGGCAAGATTGTGGAGCGATGAAGACCGGTCAGGATCTCCAGGGGGGGCATAGAACCAATGCTGCACGGAATACCTCAATCGCTTCATCCAAGTCAGGTACTGTGGCTTGTTTCTGGAACCTGCTCATGAGGCAACAAGCAAGATTGTTAAGAGATACACTGCGATCAGGATGCCCTGGTGGGCGGAGCTCTAGCACTGCACGATCGAGTGTGATGGCTTCCTCCAAGTCGGCGACTATTTCCTCTTTCTGGAATCTGTCGTAGAGAGCCGTCACCAGGTTGGAGAGGGCGGCACCGCGGCCATTATGTCCTGGAGGACAGCGTTCCAACGTTGCCTCGCTTGCGGGAAATGACGACTGTCGGATCCATTGAATGCCGTTGTGCTGAGAGGATATACAGGATAAGAAATGGTTCTGCCTTTGGGGCAGGTTCAGTAACGAGCCGCAATCAGACAGGTATAATAGAACCACACCTTGCCCTTGGCAACGAGAAAGCAATGGGGTCAAGCAACCTTGTATGCCAAAATGCAGCGCGATGATGGTTCTGTCGGAACTTCACCGATTGATGCGGGGGTGAGGGTTGACTGGAGAGAAGAGAGAAAATTTGCTGCTTGAGTAGGTCACGTAGATTGAAGAACTTGGGGGCAACTTACCAGTGGCCCAACGGTTGATCGTCGTCTATAAGTGAGAGTGGCCGTTGAACGCAGAGCACAGGATTGCCGCCCATAGCTCAGCCTCACCCTGCTTGGCCAACACGTTTCTGGCATCCGTATTGAAAGCTCCACAGTGAACATGCCGGGTTATATATACTCGTTCCGATAGGTATCCTGCGTGTTGGGCATCCCAGGGAGGGGTAATACTTGGTAATACGCCCAGCCTCGTCGTTATCATCAATGTCAACATTACCGGCGACGAGCCTTGTACAGGATCACTGGGCGAACAACCAACATCACTGCACTTGTTGGGTTGCATCGTTAGATCACGGGTGATGCGAGGTCTTGGGGGGTTGAAGTTGAGGGAGCCATCCTGAGAGGGCTTTCACAAATCAAGAAAGTATATGCAACTACAAGTAGAGAAAAGCATCCAGATCGCTGCAAGGCATTCTTTCTCTACAGAAAAGCGTCGATATGGATACATGACGGGGTATGGTTGTATGTAGATAGCATGATTTACAACCGGAATGGGTGTTGGAGTATGCGCACCAATAGTCTGCGAGCTGCGAAACCGCGACGCGGTGCATAGGCCGCCCACAGTCGCAGTCGCACCCCTCTGAGATCGTCTCGTAATGCCTAGTTGCCACTGCATCGAGCTTGACTCGATCGCAACGCTGTTGCATGCAATTAGCAAAGAAGCGCAGCAGAAAAAGTAGGACGACTCGCGTTTGAAACGGCACACATAACAGCCTGATTCGTGTTCACCATCACTTGTCTGTCCAACTCTGGAGTCAGCCGTGGATGTTACGGTGTCGGACTATAGACACGTTAGAGGTCCGCGAAAAAGCAAACGGAATGAAGAGCCACTTACTCGATGCAATGATGTGTCAACGCTACTCTGACGGCCTCTGTGTTGACTGGAGTGCTCGCTTTCATTAGTCGTGCGGCGCTATGAAGACATTAGAGAACTACGAACAGCGAGGAAAATTTTCAACAAGCTACCCGATCTGTCTCGCTTCGCTGCCGCGCCCACCGATCTGCTTTCCAAGGTAAAACAATCAGGAGCTATACGTATCATCTCAAGATGTGGGCAGTACTAAGGCTATATTGAAGACACACCTCCTTGCATCGCGCAGCGTATACAGTTTCTCGTGAAGTCCGTGTCTTCTCTTGGGTACAATGAGACGATTCTCGCCTCCACCACGAAAGCTTTGATAGTTTTGATATCAAGCTGGCCTTTTGTGGTTTGAGGCGTGTGACGGGAGGTAAAGGGTTGGCTTCAAAATCCCAAAAGGCAGGCCCTGGCCTGAAGACCTGTGATGCACCAAAGGTTACAAATAGGAGTCCGTAGTGGTGTGAGTCACGCATACATGGGGTTCTGGTTCTCTACTTTCTGGGTAGAAAAAATCAACCTGCTGGTCAGCGTCTTCTCGCCCTGTCTCTTCCTCGTCTGGCGGCAAATTCTGTGATGCCATCTAATGTCACGATGAGAGGACTATCGTGACGTGGATCATGCGTACCACTGATTCCGACTCGTTTCTTTCCGTATGGGAAAAATCACTGTGTCCTTCGGCGTCTTCTTGCTCCTCCCTGGCTCTCGTTGCCAGATAACCTGGTATCATTGAAGATTAAAAAGAGAAGACTGTCGTGACCTGAATCATGCATACTCCTGATTCTGACACTTTTCTGCCAATATCGAGAAAATCGCCGTGTGCTTCTCGCTTCCTCTCTGCCTCTTCCGTTTGGCTTGTGGCTGCATGCTGCTGGAGAGTGGACATCCAAAACGCGAAGGACAGAATATCAAAAACTAATACTTACACGCGAAGCCCGGAGATGCCGTAAGTGACATTCCCTGATGTGTCGAATAAAATTATGTCGACCGATTTCCACTCCACAGTCATGCCATTCACAGCGAAGGATGGCAGATCGGGACATGTTCTTGATTCTATGCACAGAACGGAAGTGTTCAGGAGCAGTCGCGCAGTTGATTATTTGCAAGCATTGATTGCAGTTTGGATCCGCATAGCGGCAGACACTTGGCGGACAACTAGTATAAGAGTTGCTGTATTATCATGTAAATCAGACGAAAGGGAGACTGAAATGCAGATCCATACCCATGTGCTACCGGTAGTATGTCAGCCTCGGACGAAGACATCGTTTAGCTGCAACTGGATATGAGCCTGTTAGAGATGTTCAAAGATCATCTTGTCCAAACTCACAAGCGAAAGAAGCCCAGAGAGGAAACGGGAAACACAAAGCGTCAGACCAGAGTGGCACGTGTGGATAAGGCAAATTGGATGGCCTGTGCTGGAGGTGAGTGGATGGACGACCTCGACCTATATACTTTCCCAAGTGGCACAGCAACTACAGCGCGTGTCTTGCCATGAGGCAGACAGCGAGAATCTGGACCCAAGTGATGAGCTTAGCCTAATGTGTAACGGCATTTCTCTTCGGGCAGTACTTATGATTGAGTGCAGGTCCAACAAGTTGAATGTGAACGTCGGCTGCGAGTAACAACACGTTGGGAGTGCACAAGTTGCGGAGGACAGAAGTGAGATACTAAAGTCTGATCAATAGTGTCACGACGGGCGTAGTGCTCCTGTACATGTCTACAAACACAAGCATTACCGTGAGTTGGAAGCTATGCTGGAAACTGTACTTTGCTTCTCGTCTCTTCCTTCTTAGCTGCCCGTTCCTTCGCGGCCTCTAGTTTGATGGCAGCCTTGACTTGTCGTTGCCTCTTCTTTCGTCCATTGCCCCTCTTTGGACCCTTGATGATGACAGGCTCCGCCATACGTTGTTTCCGTCGCGCAACTTGTTCGGCGCGATGTTTTTCTCGCTTTTTGTCTCGTTTGCGAAGAGTGGTGAAGGACGCTTTGAGGAGCGATCCATAGGCAGCGTGAAATTTCATTAAATCTGCGGGTTTCACCTGGAATAGTTAGCCGCAAACGGGACAGACCGATCGCCTCTATATATCACGATCGCAATGGTGGGGGATGGACATACATGTGTGGAAAACTGCGTTTTGTTGCCATCTGTGACCCGCACGAGACAGAGGTATTCCTTGTTGGATTTATCCACATCATGCATCACTACGTCTTCCCCATCATATGTCACTGTATGCAGACCACGCGAACGCATCAGAATGCATGATCACGGTGGTGAACGAGACTCGAATACTCACGTCGCTTATGGGTGAGCCATACAGTCCCCTTGTCCTTGGTCGCTTCGAATAGCTCTTCAAGCCGCTTTATGAACTATCGGAATCGTTGATGGTTGGAAAAGTAAGTGATTGCGGATATGCTCACAGTGTTGTTGTCGACGAGGTGCATCAGACGGCTTGCAGCGGAGCGAGCAGCTAAGACAGATGATATGCTGACTAAGCGCTTAGCAGCATTGCTCATGATGACGCTGCAAATGTCCTATCTGCTTGACGTGGAGGTGTTCAATGATAATGACGCCGCAGGGGCGACTCAAAGATAACGAACGGCCAAGCCTATCTTTCTGCCATAAAACCTGACCTCTTTTTCTTGCTGATAGTCAAACGACCCTGTCGAGATGGAACCATTCTCACCATTCACAGGCGGGGCCTCACTACTTCTGTCGTTCCGGGTTCAGAAGAAGACGGTGCTGGTCATCGGCGGGGATGCACTTGCTGCATCCCGTGCTTACGTGTCTCTCGAGGCAGACGCGAATGTTGTCGTGCTCGTCCGAGGGGGTTTACAGGCCGTTTGTGACGAGTTGCAATGGCGGGCCCGGCAGGGCCAGGTGTCTGTGCTCGACTGGGGTACACTTTTGTCTGACAGCCGTATGGACAACGTCGGTGCACTAGAGGGCGTATCCTCCCCCAGAGTCGAGGCGGACCTTGACTTGAAGGCGGGATATCACTGCGCTCGACGCATATCTATCCAAGACACCCTCTATTTCCCTTGTCTGTGTAACCGGTACACTATCCCCCTCATTCTCGTCCCGCACTCGGATCCTCGCACCGCATATTGCTCGAGTATGTCGAGCCTACCGTATACCCGTCAACGTCGCGGATATGCCAGCACTCTGCGACTTTTACTTCGCTATCCACGCATCGCTTCGTTGATCCAACCACGGGCGCTAAGAGTTCGATGCAACTCGGTGTCACAGCTAATGGGGAGGGTTGTCGCCTCGTTAGTCGTATACGAAGAGAAGCTGTTGCAGCCCTACCAAAGGAACTTGGAGGTGCGGTCACTGCGTGTCGGCCGACTCAGGAGACTAGCGCGTGAGCAGGAACGCAAGGCAGAAGGAGCCGGCGCGGTAGATGAGAAAAATGACGTTGATTTGGATACGGAAGGGGAGAATGGTGATGCAGAGGATACGAGTGTGAACACTCCTAATCAGCCGGTGCCGATTCGGCGAGCAGATGAACCGGAGAGCGTAGCCGAAGCAGTCAAACGCAGGATGCGGTGGGTCGCGCAAGTCAGCGAGTACTGGCCTATCTCCCGACTTTCTGCTCTCAAGGAGCCCGAGATGCGGGTGGTGCTAAGCGGTAGTATTGGGCTACCGTCCGTAGGACAAAACAATCACGGAGAATCGTCGTCTTCGCAGTCCCTGCCTCCTTTACAGATGGAACTACGATCGCAACACGGATTGAAATCCATTTCACCCATTTCATCCAAGAAGGAAGGGCGTATCCTACTCGTCGGCTCTGGCCCTGGTCATCCGTCATTGCTGACACTTGCTACACATAATGCCCTAACCAAACACGCAGACCTTGTCTTGTCCGACAAGCTTGTACCCTCGGCTGTTCTGGAATTGATACCACAACATGTCGAGCTACGGATTGCACGCAAGTTCCCCGGCAATGCAGACGGCGCGCAAACGGAGATGATGGAGGCTGCTGTAGAAGCTGCCAGGCGTGGATTGACAGTCGTTCGAGTACGTATATGCTACTACGTCACGTGGAAGTCGTCTCAGTCGCCAATGTAGCTAAAACAAGGGGATCCAGTTGTATATGGTCGCGCAGGCGAGGAGGTACTCTACTTCCGTTCACACGGGTTTGAGCCCCTTGTCGTACCGGGCGTATCTTCGGCGCTCGCAGCCCCGACATTTGCGGGGATCCCCGTGACACAACGTGGCGTCGCGGAGACATTTTGTAGTCTGTACTGGTGTTGGGCGACAAGGCAAAGAAGTGCGGTTACCGGGATACGAGCGCTCTCGGACATTGCTGATTTTGATGGGGGTCGCTCGTCTTACGGAGGTAGTCGGTGCACTTCTCGGATGTTCCCCGTTCAACACAACTTCTGAGGGTGATTCAAAAGGCGATGGTAGAAGAGATGGCTCGCCCTACCCTCCGACTACCCCGATTGCCATCATCGAGCGTGGGTCGATGCCGGACCAGCGGGTGCTCGTGTCCACGCTTGCTGATGTGTGTACAGCATTGGAGAGTTTGGGGGCGCAGCGTCCTCCTGGGATGATCGTAGTGGGTTGGGCTGTTCTTGCTTTGCATGGGCACGGAGACGTTCGTGTATTGGAAGAAGGGGAAGGAGGTGATGAGGAGAGGGTGAAGCGGTGGCTGGGTGGACGAAGGTGGAATGTGATAGAGGGCATTTCGGAAGGCTGGGCAGCGCTGTGAGGGTTGTACTTGACCTGATTTCGATTTTATGTATCTCGCTTGGATATCATGTTTTTCAAAATCTTATCTAATCTTGTCAATGTCGCGACCCACGTGATCGTATCTCGTGACTTGGGACAAGCATCGCGCGTCATCAAACACAGACCGCAAAGTTCAAACGCTGTCCGGGCCAGGACTCAGTCCGGTCAAGGCTATCAGAATCACTCGTGTTACACTAGCTGATTTGGCAAGAACGTAGTACATTGTCACCGATGCCTCCCCGAAGGTCTTCACGTTCGACTCGTGCATCCGCTGAGCCTGCGCCAGCTGTGGTACCTACATCCAGTGGTTCCAAACGCAAACGCGGTCAATCAGCAGCACTAAACGAAACCGAAAACGAGCCAGAGAAGGAGAACGTATCGAAGCCTGGGTACGAGACCGTCATCGTCGTCGAGAACGTCGAACGTAGGCGTACCGTCAAGAGCATCCCGGAGTACGCGTGCATCCGCTCGAGGAGGGAATTTGCGGGAGGTTGAGGAGGAAGAAGGTGAAGAGGAAGAAGGGCGCGAGGAGGACCAGGCAACTGAGGAAAGTGAGGCACCCAGGGCGCGTAAGAAGTCGCGAAATTCTACAGAGAAAGACGAAGAGGATGAGGAGGAAGTCGTGAGGGAGGAGGAAGATGAAGAACCACCGAAGAAGCCTGGACGGGGAAAGAGAGGTAAAGCAGTCGCGGAAGTGAAGGAGGAGGAGGAAGAGGTGAAACCAGCGTCCAGATCACGTCGGACATCTGCCAAGCCCCCTTCCTCGAGAGCAACTACGCGCGCAAGTCGGAAACCTGTGCAACTTGAGAGTGACGTCGAAGAAGTTATCCCTCCCTCGGAAGACGACTCGGATGACGATGTTCTTCCTGTCCCAAAGGGTCGAAAGCAAACTGCTGGGAAGTCCCAATCCAGACGTGGCCGACCTCGTCAATCGTCTGGAAATGCACCCAGTGATCAGGAGGAGCCCACTGCTCAACAGTCAAATGCCGATGATGCAGGCGATGCATCAACTCCTCGACCACGGAATTCTTTCCCCAGTACTCACACCCGGAAGCTCTCGCACTCGGCATCTCGTGGTTATGATGGCGACGATTTGGATGGATTTGACCAGACGTTTAAAGGATCGCCGATGCGTTCTAGACGACAGGACGCGAAGGGCAATCCTCCAAGTCAATCAACCAAGCGTGCCGCACTAGCCGTCACCGATGAGGAGGAAAAATCGCTTTTGGAACCTAGAGAACCGAGACCTAAACCATCAATCGCAGATACAAATATCCCCCGCCGAGGAGCCCAGCGGACCAAGGTCCCGCTTGGTGATCCACAAGATGGCGTTGGTTAACTTCAAGAGTTACGCAGGCCGTCAGGAAATCGGGCCCTTCCACAAGGTGAGTATGAATATATTGGATGTAAGTTGTAAAATGCTGAATATCTGGCAGTCTTTTTCTGCAATCGTAGGTCCGAACGGTTCGGGCAAGTCGAACACCATCGATGCTCTGTTGTTCGTGTTTGGATACCGTGCATCAAAGATGCGACAAGGTAAACTCTCAGAGCTGATTCATAACTCGGCGCGATATCCGGACCTTGATGAGTGTAGCGTGGAAGTTCACTTCCGTGATATCATTGATTTGGTGTGCTACAACTGTTCTTTCACTGAGGGTATCGCTCAAAGGTATTCCTTAGCCTGGACCGGATGCATACAAAGTTGTGCCAGATTCCAACCTTGTCGTGGCACGGATTGCAAACAAAAACAACCAAAGCAAGTATACCATCAACGGCCGTCATAGTAGCTTCACAGAAGTGCAAGCGCTGCTGAAGGGGCGCGGGATTGATCTTGACCACAAGCGGTTCCTTATCCTTCAGGTAAATACACACCCCCTCGTTCCCTCTTCCTCGTCTGCAACGTGTTCACGTTTTTCAGGGGGAAGTCGAATCCATTGCACAGATGAAACCCAAAGCACAGAACGAGCATGAGGATGGATTACTCGAATACCTCGAAGACATCATTGGTACATCAGCATACAAAGCCCCAATCGAAGAAGCTCTCGCGGCTATGGAAGCTCTTTCGGAGGATCGTGCAGAGAAACTGAATCGCCTACGCATTGTAGAGCGCGAGAAGAGTGCGCTGGAAGCACAGAGGCGCGAGGCTCTCGATTATCTGCGTTTATACAACGACTCGGTTCGCGCAAAAAGTCGACTGTGGCAATGGTATCTGTGGAAATGTCTAGACAACGAAGAGAAATATAATGAGCAGATTGTGAGATTCTTTTGTCTGGATTATTTCATCAACTAATAGCTGTGGGGTGTGCAGGAACGGATCGAAAAGGAGCTCGCGACTGAACGGGAGCAAAATAAAGGTGACATAGAGCATCTGAACATGCTCGAACAGCACTTCGTCGACCGACAGAAGGCGTATGAGGTCTGATGGTTTCTCTCAGTTTCTGGAAACCTTGCGTTGACTTACCATCTTGTTGTAGGAAGTCAAAGCTGCTGCCGAAGAAGCCATCAAGGATCAAACTGCCCATGAAAAGCAGGTTGTTAGTTTGGAGGAGCGGCGGAAACATACGAGTACAAAGGCCAAGAAGTTGAAGAAGTCTTTGCAAGATGTAAGTTTTTCCACTGCGGTGATCCGTTATTTCTCGACTCACAATTTTTTCTATACAGGACGAGCATGCTCAAACTGAGGCTCAACGGACCATCAAAGAATGTGCCTCGAAAATGGAAAAGAAGAGAGCCGAAATCGAGGAACTCGAGGCCTAACCTCAGAAAAGAGGAAGGACGTGCTCGAGAGCATCCGTGATAGTCTCAAAGGTGCGTCTTGTTCCCCCCTATTGTCTTGCACTACCCTCACTTATTACCACCATCGTAGACAAGACGCAGGTATTCCACGACCAAATTGAAATCAAGCAGAAAGAACTGCAACCATGGACCGCCAAGATCAATGCAAAGAAAGCTAGCATCGACGTGGCTACGAGCGAGCGGGAGGCTCTACTCAAGAAGGTTACCGGTCTCAAGGACGCAGTTAAAGATGCGGAGGCTGACCTAGAGACTAAGCGAGCGAATCTGGAGGAGAAGGTCGGCGTTATTTAGTCAGGTGCTACACTTCGTATTGACTCGCAGGATTAGCTCAATAGCCTACAAGATCTGAAAGCCAAGGAAGGCTGCCATGCAGGGCGAGCTACAGGCTCATGCCAAGACGTTCAGGGTACGACTCTCTGGAAGTTGACCTTCCGGTGGCTAACCTCGCCTGTAGGATGCACAAGCTCGTGTGCAAGAACTACGATCTAAGGCGAATTCCCTTCGTCAAAGAACGGATGATGCGAGAGCATCGCAAGCAGCTAACACATCCCAGAACCGAGTACTTGATCATCTTACTCGACTTAAGCAAACAGGACGCATCGACGGTTTTCACGTATGTCCTAGTTTTTTTTTTGGTCCCTGTTTACCACAAATGTCTCCTTAGGGACGACTAGGTAGCCTCGGAACTATCCCTGACAAATACGATGTTGCGGTGTCCACGGCGTGCGGTGCCCTCCATAACATGGTCGTAGATACCGTCGAGCAAGGTCAAGCATGCATCAATTCCCTGCGCACACAGAACGTGGGACGGGCATCATTCATGGTGCTTGAAAAGCTCGCTACAGACAAGGTGAACCGAAAGGATATCCACGCCCGAGAATGTACCGCGTCTGTTCGACTTGATCACACCCAAGGAACCCAAGTTTACCCCGGCGTTCTACAAAGCTGTCGGAACACGCTTGTTGCGAATGACCTCGACCAGGCGAACAGGATAGCGTTTGGTGGTGCGAAGCGCTGGCGCGTGGTCACACTTGCTGGTCAACTTATAGATGCCTCGGGTACAATGTCCGGTGGAGGAACCCACGTTGCACGCGGTGGAATGAGCTCGAAGCTTGCCCCAGAAACAGTGAGGCCGGAGGTGCTGCGTGCCTGGGAACAAGAGAGTGAAGAAGCCGCGCGTAGCCTGGAAGAAGCACAGAAGGACCTACGTTCGCTAGAAGCAGAGGCGGAGCGGTTGACGCAGGCTGGGCCGAAACTTGATATGGACATCGAGAAGTCGTCGCTCGATATCAAGAATGGTCGCAAGCGTGTCGAAGAAGCGGAGCAACGTGTTCGTGATCTGAAGTAAGTAAAATCGTCCCTCTTGATTACTTATGAGCGGATTGAAGCATCTCTGAACCTGTCATAGAGCCCAAAGTAAGCCCTGACGCACGGGACGTGGCACGCATCGATGCGCTGGAGAGGGAAATTAGCTCGAGTACCAAGGAATTCGAACAGCTGCAGGCAAAGTCTGGAACTATCGAGTCAGCCATCAAAGACCTCGAGAAGAAAATCCTCGAAATTGGAGGCTCAAGACTTCTGAAACAAAAGTCGACGGTCGATGGGATCAAGCTGCACATCAACCTTGCCAACGACGAGATTACGAAAGCTGAGGTTGCGAAAGCAAAAGCTGAGAAGGATGTTAACAAGCTCGCTTCTACTATCAAGAGCAACACCGATGCCTGTACAAGAAGTTGACAAGGAACTAGACGAACTGACCCAGCAGCTCGCTGAGGTCGCTGAGTATTTAACAGAACTCAAGTCCAAGGTCGAGGCCGCTCAAACGGCCGCAGGAACATTCGAAGGATGATCTAGAGGACCTTAAGACTCAGCTGGAGACGAAACGGGAAGAAATAAAAAAGTTTAGGGAGAAGGAGGTTTGCATAGTTTTATTCTGCTCTTATCGTAGCTCCACTTACGGTGTCGCAGATGGAATTGAATCAGAGTCTGAATGACGTCAAGAAGGAAGCTGCAGCTAACGAAGAAGCGCTCAATCACTGGCAAACCGAGCACGATAAACTTAAAATCGAAGAGATTGAGTGAGCACTTTCGCGGTTTACAAGACATTCTGACTGATTTGTAACACAAGTGACGATGATGAGGACGACGAAGAGGCAGAAGCCGACGCCGAAGGTCAAGAAACTGCGGCAGCCGAAAATGCGGAACCGAAGGAACCTCAAGTAAAGGATGAACCTGAGGAACACGCACCACCACCTCCGAAGAAATCGCGGCAACGGCAATCTTCCACAGAGCTGCATATTTACAGTTCCCCCGAACTAGCCCAGTTCAGGAGGCGTGACCTGGTTGCAGACTCCGAGTACCTAGACGGTATGCCGACCTCCAACCCGCCGAAATTCACTACTGACAGACCTTGTCTTGACAGAAAAAATAAAGAATGCAAAGCCAAACCTCGGAGTGCTGAAAGACTACAAGAAGCGCGAAGAGGAGTTCATGAGACGTGCCAAGGATCTTGAGCAGATCACGGAAGCTCGTGACGCGCAAAAGCTTAAGTACGATACTCTTCGGAAACAGCGTCTGGACGAATTCATGGCTGGCTTCAATTTGATCTCGCTTAAACTGAAAGAGATGTATCAGGTGCGTTATTCCTCACCGAGAGAAACTATGCGGACCGTGTCCTTGTGTTCTGATCATGGTCCAGATGATTACACTGGGTGGCAATGCCGAGCTTGAGCTGGTGGATAGTATGGACCCCTTCTCGGAAGGCATTATATTTAGTGTTATGCCCCCTAAAAAGAGTTGGAAAAACATCTCAAATCTCTCGGGTGGCGAGAAGGTCAGCACAGTCAGCAAATACGCTGACAATAGTGCTAAACGCTGTTCCAGACACTGAGTTCTTTGGCACTCGTATTCGCTCTGCACGTATTCAAAGTACGTTGTCACCAATTGTTCGAGGGTCAGCGCACTGAAATGCAGTTTACAGCCAACCCCGTTGTATTTCATGGACGAGATTGATGCTGCCCTCGACTTCCGGAATGTGTCGATCGTTGCCAATTATATCAAAGACCGGACGAAGAACGCTCAGTTTATCATCATCTCACTGCGGTATGCGTATCCCATGAACCTGTACCGCATACCTTTTCGTTTATGATTTCTCGCAGGAACGACATGTTCGAGCTGAGCCATCGTCTGATCGGAATCTACAAGACTGCAAACGCAACACAAAGTAAATTTCATCTCTTCCGTCTGATTTGTAAAATGCTCACCTAAATGCACCCGCACAAGGTATCGCCATAGACAACCAAGCTCTTACTGTCGTCCGGCCGCCAATGGCAGCCGCATGAAGTTACTTACTTCTCCTTCATTGCTTCCCTATTTACATAGTCCAGACTGCATGTAGTGTCGTGATTCCCTGTACACCTAAGAAATGTCGTGTTTCAATTATACTGTGTATTCAATCTCCATGTCCTGGAAGGTTCGCCATTATCATGTCCCCAAGGGATTTAGATTCCCAGCTAGTCAGTAACGTTATGCCTTCCAACTGTTCTAGTTGAGTAGATCCCACATAATCCTGAGGTAAAAGCAGCGACGGCTCAGCGAAAAACCATGGATGGCGTAGTGCTTCCTGGGCATGAAGCCGACGTGAAGGTTCGTAGACAAGGAAACGATGTACGAGATCGAGAGGAATGGCCAACTTTTCCGCTGAAGGTGTGTGCGTTTTGGTGTCCAGTTGTATGTGACGTAACGAAGGGGGCAAGTTAGGTAAAAGCGGGGCGAGGTCGACTGCATTGGTTTCGAGAAATGACAGCTTTCCTGCGTCTGGTAGCTGCGCGAACGACTATGATGTGGGACAGCGCGTGAGCATGCATTGCATTCCAACAAGGTAACAAGACATACAGGCCAGTTGGTATCGTTCGGAGACCCGCGAACCTTGAAGACGCTCCAAGCTAACACAATCTCACCGCGCTCACCCTCGAAAAGACTATCCCTGACCCATCTGGCAGTGGGATCCGTTGGACGCACGCCTTTCGTCAAGATGAACGGTTCGAGGGGCACTTGGGGGCTCCTCGGCATGCGACTCTGAATCCGAATCTGTGGCTGTGAAGGTGTCCATATCATCTTGCTCATCGCTGCGTAAGCGGGAGGGCGTAAAGAATTCAGCGAACGTTACGCCGAGACTCCAGCGGTCGATGGCAAACGCGTCGTACGACCGCGGTCCAAAAAGTAACTCTGGGGCGCGATAAGCACTAAAGCATGATTGAGTTTTACGCCGGGGTGCATATACTCTGTGCAGACGTACCCCGTAGAGACCTCAAAGTACATGTCGTGTAGTTGCTCCGGCCATAAATCTCTCGTAGTCGTATGCTTGTCGTCTTCCTGCTTCCATGCAATGCCAAAGTCGATGAGTCTGACGCATCCCGTGGCGGTCAGGAGTATATTGCTCGGTTTGATATCCCGGTGTGCAATCATGGCTATCTGGTGCAGGTAGTCGACAGCACAGAGGACCTGGAACATGATTGACTTTGCAAGAACCACGAACCGCTGTTCCCGGGGACTAGCGACAGAGGTGTCTCCATTTCCAAACGACACTCTGGGATGCGGGGAGAATAACGCCGACGACAGGAGGTCGTGGACGGAATACGGCATATAGGGCATCCATAGGCTTAGCCACTGTGGTCTCTCGGCCACCTGCTTGATCAAAGGATTGACCTAGACAAAATGTTCGTGAGATACGAGAACACCCAGCAGAATCGCTGGCATTTAGCATACGTTGGGGTGACAGGTCGACGCGATGAGTCTCGCCTCCTTGATGATGTCGTGTGGTTTTCTCGCCAGGTCTCGGTTTGTGGTGGACGATTTTATGGCTATCCATCTCGTTGGCTGGCCCGGAAGGCTGGTTTTAACACGGGTCACTATGGAGAAAGGACCTTCGGATACGACTTCCTGGACGGATGGTCAGTCACTAGCACTCGACAAGCTCGTCGTCGGTGCACTCACAGACTCGGGATTCATGATGATGATGACCGCGAAGAACTGCGTTCGACGTTTGTCTAGTGTTCAGCCCCGGTGGTGGGCAGAAACGGTCATGTCGCTGAGAAGAGTCATCACGGCGGTGAACTGATTCCGTCGATGTGTAAAAGGAAAGGAGCATAACGTCAGTTTTGGACCGTCGTCGTACATCTTCAGGGCTACAGATCACCATGACCGACGTGGAGAAGCGCGCAATACTCAGTAAGTCGAATGGAATGCGTCTCCGGGGACGAATGCTAACTGTGATCGGTAGATAAACGGCTGCTGACTGCTGCAAGAGGGAGCGGAGACATTGAGGAATTGTTCACCGACCCCATGTATAGAGATCCTGATGACGACGAGGACTACTTGTTCGATATCAACTGCAGAGACATGTAAGCTCCCTCCTTGCCATCTGCGATGTAGTGTGGAGGTTGAGCTGATGATAGTCTAGGAAACACTCGTTCGTCGTGCATTTCTCGCTGCTTTGAACACTCTCCCGCTAACATCGCCGGGTGGATCTGTTAGCCCTACATCTGGCGTAAGTACGTCGATCTATCCTGGAATACCCCTCGTCTAAGGAAATCATGTTCCCCGACAGGGTGAGCGGTGGGTGGGTAAACTACGTCGATCTCATCCTCGGTGCACCACTCTGTGATGTCGATATCCAAAACAACAGGGGGGATACACCATTACACCTGGCTGTACAGATTCGGGATCCTGAGGCCCGGAAAGCTATCGTGACTTTACTCATCAAAGAGGCGGAAGCATATGAATCGTAAGTCTAGTTCCGAAGTGGAGGATCTGCGCGTAAACTGATTGCTGGGACGAAACACGAACTGTAGCACAAGGTTGAAGAACAAGGCTAACCAGACACCGAAAGACCTGTGTGACATATACTGCCCGAACGATAAGGAGGTCATCAGGTTAGCAAGCCCACCGGCTCGGAAGCTCAGTCAGATGTTGGACAGCAGCGACTGTTGTGAGAGGTACGTCACTCAATGCATTCTCAAGTCAGGTACTAATGTAATATCAAAGACAATGACGACGACGACGAACCTGAGTCGGAATGAACTACGTACTTTCCTCGAGGTATACAAAGTACTAGATGTTCTGTAATTAGCAGCATTGTAGTGTGAGAACGGAGCTCCTCCCGCGCTTGGTTAGGAGCCAGCTTGATGTCACTGATCTCGCTTGGATCGAAATGTCGATGTCGACCTAGAGTCCATTCGTCTCAAAATCATAACTGGCTCGACGACGACGGAGATGACGAGGGATGGCAGGACATGCCTGTCGTGAAGGAAGATGACCTGGCGTGTGCGCTCGACGAGGAGGACCAGAAGAAATACCACTATGTACAGCCTGCAAAGAAGAACGCTACGGGTACCACTGGAAACGCCACGGGCAACCTCATCGATTTCGACGACACAGGCGTCGAGTGGCGTTCCAAGGCAGAGCAGAACGAGAACGAATATACACGCCTGCGGATAGAAGAGGAGGACGACGCCGACGAGGTCAACCTGCGCACGCGATACCTCTTTGACGAAGACAAGGCCATGACACCTCTCAGCCAGATGCAGACCACCAAGAATATGCTCACAGAAGCCCAGCGTATCGCTTATGTCGGGTTGTGTGCTCTTACCGCCAAGGAAATGGTCAAGCAACTGAAGAGGTCCAACAGGAAAGAGCTCAAGCCTGCCGCACAGAACATGGAATTATGGATGATGAAGATCTTGGGCAGACTGTACTACCACATGGAACTTGAGACTGCAGGTACATTGGCTACCGTTCTCCATTGACAGCCCCTGTATCAACTTCACATACTCAACCCATCTTTTTTGCAGAGCAAAAGATGATTGACAGCTTGGATTTGCATGGTGTGCAAGCAAGCGATCTCGTGCCTTCACTAATGACCACGCATACCGTCGCCAATCCTGAGTACGACCCTGCGGAGGCCAAAAGGCAAGCGGACGCTCAACAACTGAAGCAGGATGTTCCGGGCGGTGGTAGCCAGCTCACAGAGCCGTCGAAATCCCCACAGCCATTGCAGTCGCCAACTCCGACGAGGTCTGCCTTCCAGACCACATCGCGTGTACTCGAAGGAACTGCTATTGCATCTACCTCTCTCCCTGGAGTAACTACCTCGCTCTCGGCTGTCGACAAGGATGTCACGCTTGATATCCGGTGGACAGTTCTGTGCGATCTATTCCTCATCTCAATTGCAGACAGTGTTTATGACGCACGCTCTCGGGTACTGCTAGAGAATGTTGCTCTGAAGCTTGGACTCGGATGGATCGATGTTGCCAAGTTTGAGCGTCGAGTAACTGAAGCACTCGAGATTCAGGAAGATGTAGAGAAGATGGAGAACCAGGAGATTATCGACGATGCATCGAAAACTCTTCGGAAAAGAAGATACATGATGATGGGTCTGGCAACTCTCGGTGCGTTGTTCTCTGTTCTATTCAGACATCAATTCAAAACGTACATAGGCGGTGGTCTCGTCATCGGGCTTTCGGCGGGCCTACTTGCCCCTGTCATTGGTGCAGGTCTCGGGGCTGCCTTTGCTACGATTGGTGTGTCAGGTACAACGGGTTTTCTTGCAGGGGCGGGAGGTGCAGCGGTCATTACGACTGGTGGTGTCCTCACTGGCTCTGGCATTGCAGCCCGTGGAATGGCTAGACGGACTCGGCAGGTCAAAACGTTTGAGGTATTGCCTTTGCATAACAACAAGCGAGTTAGCTGTATATTAACTGTTCCCGGGTGCGTCTGTTACCACGTTGCAATCCAGTAGTTTTTCGACTAACGTATACTTGGCACAGTTTTATGAACGGCAAATTAGACGACGTGCGTCTTCCGTTCAGCGTTCTCGATCCAATCGTTGGGGACGTTTTCAGCGTGCTCTGGGAACCGGAAATGATTATGGAAACGGGTAGTGCAATTAAGATTCTGACTACGGAAATCTTGACCCAAATCGGCCAGACGGTATTACAGCATACCGTGATGACAGCACTGATGGGTGCTCTCCAATGGCCAATCAGTACGTTGCTTTGAATGGATGTCAACTAAAGAGAAGCTGATCTGTATTTCCAAGTATTAACCAAGTTGGGGTACTTGATTGATAATCCCTGGAATAATGCTCTCGACCGTGCGAGAGCCGCTGGTTCTGTGTTGGCACAGCTACTCATTCAACGTCATCTTGGCGTCCGACCGATCACATTGATTGGATTCTCTCTTGGAGCCCGTGTTATATTCTACGCGCTCTTGGAGCTTGCCAAGTCTAAAGCTTTTGGTATCGTACAGGACGTTTTCCTCCTCGGAGGCACCCTTACTGCGTCACAAAGTGCATGGTATGAGGTTCGCAGCGTTGTCTCTGGACGGTTTGTGAACGCATACGCGAGGAACGATTGGGTTTTAAATTATCTGTTTCGTGCCACGAGTGCTGGCCTCAGTTCCGTCGCAGGACTAAGGCCCGTTGAAGACGTCCCGGGTGTGGAGAACGTTGATGTGACGGATAAGATATCGGGACATATGAGTTACAGAACGTTCATGCCACTGATTCTTGATCAACTTGGTTTCCCGGTGTCTGCCGATTTCTTTGATGAACCCGTGGTACGTAGTGGGGTCTTTTTGTTTCTTGCATTTTGTTCGTGTTAACTCGAGATTTCTTTTACCAGGAACCTGAATTCAAAGAGGAAAGAGTAGTTATACGAGATGAAGAGTTGGACTCGCAGAAGAAGGGATGGTTCTCGAGAAAGAAGAAACAACCTCCTCCCAAGGCTTCGCACGTGTCACGACCGCCTTCTGCTGCTACTATAGAGACCTTCACCAAGACTTCTTCATCGTCCAGGCCATCCGAAGATGACTTGCCACCTCGAATAGATGTTACAGACGCACCTGAATGTGTGGCCGCCACAGACGCCACCGCCACCGGCCCTGAACGGGAGTCAATTGACTCCACACCAGAAATACCCATCCCCGCTGGTTTTGATCTAGGCGCCATCAGGAGAGTGATTGGAGAATCACAGCATCACCCTGAAGACATCCGTATACCGCAACCTGGACAAGTATGTGTACAGGCCAAATCCACGCCACCGCCAGCAGCATGGCCAACGATATCAGCTTCACAGCCGCCACCGCCCCTTCTCGAAGATTTGACGCCGCCATGTGATGATGTTTCAAATAGGAGCCAAAATGTACTCGGCTCCTTAAACACCCGGTTCGCCTCTACGTTGTCCCTACGGGATGAGGGCACTGGTGACGATAACAAGGTCGGTGTCTCAGAAGACGATGGTGATGTATCCCGATCAACTTCGACATTCAATTCCCCGCGAAATTCTCCCGGGATACCATTTTCTGCCGCTGACGGACCCATTTGGACTTCGAATGGTCCGGTAAACTCGACCGGTACGGCTCTCGCGTTCGGAAACCCATTTGGGATGTCGAGCAAGGTGCTTTCGCGTGTGGCGCCTAGCCAGTCCAATAGGACTTACGCAACGGTACCTGATCCGTCCGCGTCTCTCTCCTTTGGGTCGTTGGATGGGACAATAACGTTGCAGAGCGTGGAGCAAGATCCGTGGAACATGCCGGAAGCGGGCAAGTCCTCGAGTTATCTCTCCAATCCGTGGTCGACCTAGTGTTGTGGAGTGGATCCCTACCATTTTGACTTTTTTTTTTCACTCCCTCATGAAAGTGCATACCCATTCGCCTTACTTTTGTCCACTGCCGCCGCATCTCCTGAACCTTAAGGTTTGCATATTTTCCATTATACTAGACCTGTTACTATACACATGTTGTATCAAACTCCATCACCATAGCGATATATCAGAGGACACCAAGGAACACAAAGCACGGCTATGATACACAGATGGTGACACCCGTTCGGTCAGAGTGAATTGTTGTGACAGAATCAAGAAGTCTCCAAAATGCATTATTCATCAGTGATTGTCTTATATGCATTTATACACAAGCCCTCCGGGCGCCCCTGAATGCTACAAGTACAAACAAGAGTAGGGAAGAGTTCAAGTATGGTGGATGACCAGTACACATATGCATGCAACTACCCAAAAAATTCAAGTCCAAATGCCCTAATGCCATAAAAATGGGGTGGTTCACACTGCTTTCCTCCAAGTTCACATGCTAGAAAGCTACCATACTAATTGCTCCACCACCACTTGCACCAGAACTACTATTAAGTACCAAACACTAAAATGCCTTGCCCAAACTCATTTATCTGTTTAATAGTACAAAGCCTCTCCCTTCAGTCTAACCCAGAGGTGTCATTGAGAAGTGTAAGAACCTCCTCCACACACAACTTGGCAGAACACTCACAAATATGCTCCCCAAGCATCCTCACCTCTTTGGAGATATTTGCAGTTGCACATGTTTCAATCAAATTTCCTATGCCCCAAATGTCAACTTCTTCCGAACAACTGTCTTTAAAAACAGCTGGCAAGTGCTCCTCTTTCATAAATGACAACCGAGCTGTTGTCAGGGGTATGCCTGCATGTTCCCAATCAGTTAAGAACCATTTGACTTATTGTCCCTATTGCAGATAACATTGGGCCAACAAATGTCACAATGATAGAGTGGAATTGAATGCAGAACCTGGAGTCAATGAGCTTATGCAGGAGAATCAAAAGAAAATCATACAATGAGTGTATCCAGAATGCAAGTCAAGCATTGCCACAATTCCCTGTCATTGCATGGCTCGTCAGTAATCCCACATGACTTCAAGACCACACTGTTCTTCTCCACACAGACAAGCTTTTCTGTATTAGGGATCAAACAATTTTTCAGGATCTTGTAGATCCTTCTGAGGTGTTTGATCCTCCACCCAGCATCTCCATACTAATAGGACTTGATGACCTGGGAGGAATTTGGCCTGTGATCATGTCACTTCAAGCAGTCATATATTCCAAGTAAAGCTCTTACCCGCACAGTTCTTGAAATTCATTGACCCCCCACAGCACAAGGTTTGCTAGGAGGGGAAGAAGTGCTGAGAGATTAATCAGGTGCCATATAATGGCAATGTGATCCTCCCTTGACTTCAGATCAACATGGATTATATCATGGTGCCTTGGCTTCCTTCCTGAGGCTGGGGCTGTAAGAGCAGTGAAAGTCATATCAGCCCCAACACAGTAGTAGGCTAAGGAGGCAGTTCAGACAACTACATAACTGAACGCAGAACACTCACCAAGTATATAAGGGGCGGGGTCGTATAACCATACAAGTTTGCCTATCAGCTGCACCTCAGGTTGTTTTTGTACTTCTGGTCCACTTTCCTCGCCTCGGAACAGGCATATTTGTTTCAACAGGAAAGCGGAGTCGGGGCGGCATGATGTCGCCGAGGAGAACAGACTGCGGTTCCGCATAGCTCGGCCATTCAGCAGGGCGGTCTCGAGGATGCAACGAATATTCAGGTTCCAAAGAAAACGAAGTCATACTCGTCACCACGGTCATCGGGTGTAGATTTCAAAACTGCGTGATAGATATTCGTAAAATCTGGATCAAAATCGCCAATTCTACTTCTGGCGGCACCCTCGCGACACCCGCCATGACCAAGCTTGCCAACGAACCTTTCAAACATGTCTTGTGTAAGAGGAATCTTCTCCGACTCGTCTAGGGGCGTCTCGGGCAGTGCTTTGAGGTGTTCAACGGGAGGAACAACAATCCTGCATCGATTGTCCGCCCACACACGGACAAGATCGACGTAGTCAGTTATATGACACATGGAGAATCAGTGTGGTTCGGAGGCACACGGGCATTGGCTTACTTCGGCATCGCTTCGCAGACGCACTGAATAAGATGACAACTTGCAGCTTCTGGACATTTACCTCGAGGAGGGCTAGGTCAGGAAATAAGCTAACACCTCTTCTTCCGAAAAACTCGTCGTCTATTGGACCAATCTTGTTCATAACATCGTCGACCAGCCGCCTATACCAAATGACAGGATTCGACAGCTGAATAAAGGTGAGTAGTGGTAGGTATTGTAAATGCGAGCATATATGCGTGCCTGGTATGCATCGACAGTAACTGCTTGAGCGGAGCCCTAGACTTGAGAGGCAATCCCAGAGGCGTGATCAAGCAACTCCCGGATGTCTGAAATCTCGTGGGTGATCTGAACCCTGGCATAGCACGCGTCAGATGATCTCTGCGGACGGACCGTCGTACAGACTCAGTACGATACAGACGGGCTGTCATAGCTGCTAGTCGTTCTCATTCAACAGAGAACTCCTCAGACTGGTCCAGCGCTTTAGTGGGTGACAGCCAAGCTCGTGAGAAGCCCTATTACCAAAAGTGTTGTTACTTTTACGTACGTTTATGTGCATCATTGTGCACGGTCCTTCATCATAACTACGTAGCATCACATTACAGCGCACTAAGTGGACGGGCAGCCCCAGCTTCAAGGACCTCCTATGTGGCATACTTGCGGTACTAACTGTCCCGGGTGCGTCTATTACCACGTTCCGATCCCGTGATTTTCGACTAAAGTATGCTTGGCATAGTTTTATGAACGGCAAATTAGCGTGCCGACGTGCGTCTTCCGTTCAGCGTTCTCGATCCAATCGTTGGGGACGTTTTCAACGTACTCTGGGAATCGGAAATGATTATAGAAACGGCCGTGCGATTAAGATTTTGACTACGGGAATCTTGACCCAAATCGGCCAGACGGTATTACAGCATACCGTGATGACAGCACTGATGGGTGCTCTCCAATGGCCAATCACTACGTTGTTTTGGATGGATGTCAACTAAAGAGAGGCTGATCTGTATTTCCAAGTGTTAACCAAGTTGGGGCACTTGATTGATAGCCCGTGGAATAATGCCCTCGACCCTCCGAGCACTCTGCTGGCGCGCCTACTGATTCAACGTCATCTCTTCCGACCAATCACGTTTATTGGATTCTCTCTTAGAGCTCGCGTTATATTCCACACGCTCCTGGAGCTTGCCAAATCCAAAGCTTTTGGCATCGTACAGGACGTTTTCCTCTGTTGAGAGCGTTGACGTGACAGATAAGATATCGGGGCATGTGAGTTACAGAACGTTCATGCCACTAATTCTTCATCAACTTGATTTTCCGGTGTCTGCCAATTTCTTTAATGAACCCGTGGTGCGTAGTGGGGTCTTCTCGTTTCTTGCATTTTGTTCGCGTTGACTCGAAATTTGCTTACCAGGAACCTGAATTCAAAGAGGAAAGAGTGGTTATACGAGATGAAGAGTTGGACCCCAGAAGAGGGGATGGTTCTCGAGAAAGAGGAAACAACCTCCTCCCAAGGCTTTACACGTGTCACGACCACCTTCCGCTGCTACTATAGGGTCGTTCACCAAGACTTCTCCACCATCTAGACCGTCAGAAGATGGCTTGCCACCTCGAATAGATGTTACAGAGGCACCTAAATGTGAGGCCGCCGCAGACGCCACCGCCACCGGCCCTGAACGGGAGTCAATTGACTCCACACCAGAAATACCCATCCCTGCTAGTTTTGATCTAGGTGCCATCAGGAGGGTGATTGGAGAATCACAGCATCGCCCTGAAGACCTCCATATACCGCAACCTGGATAAGTACAAGTACAGGCCAAATCCACGCCACCGCCAGTAGCATGGCCAACGATATCAGCTCCACAGTCACCATTCCCCCTTTCCGAAGATTTGACACCGCCACATGATGGGGCGGTTTCAAATAGGAGCCAAAATATACTCGGTTCCCTGAACACCCGGTTCGCCTCTACGTTATCCCTACGGGGTGGGGGCGCTGGTGATGATAATGACAAAGCTGGTATCGCAGAAGACGACGACGCGGTCCGATCAACTTCGACTTTCAATTCCCCGCGAAATTCTCCCGGGATATCATTGTCTGCGGCCGATGGACCCATTTGGATTTCGAACGAAAAGTCCGGTAAACTCGGCCGGTACATCTCGCGTTCGGAAACCCATTTGGGATATCGAGCGACGTGCTTCCGCGTGCGGCGTCTGACCAGTCTAATAGGACTTGCGCAACGATACGTGATCGCATCCGCGTCTCTCTCCTTTGGTCGTTGGATGGGACAATAACGTTGCGGATCGTGGAGTAAGATCCGTGGAACATGCCAGAAGTGGGCAAGTCCTCGAGTTATCTCTCCAATCCACGGTCAACCTACCGTTGCGGAGTGAATCACAGTACGTTGAATCCACTTTGACACTTTGTTTTCTCCCTCATGAATGTGCATACCCATTTGTTCTTCTTTTGTCCACTGCCGCCTCATCCCCTGAACCTTAACTTTTTGCATATTTTCCATTACACTAGACCTGTTACTACACACACGTTGTATTAAAACTCCCATCACGATAGCGATACATCAAAGGGCACCAAGGAACACAAAGCACGACGACAGTATATAGATGTGACACCTGTCCCGTCGGAGTGAAATGCCGCGACAGAATCATGAAGTCTCGAAAACGCAATACTGACGCGTTCCTCTTATATTTAATATATCTTCCGCCGACAATGCCAGGTTCGTCGGTCCCGGTGATCATTGGCGAAGGGCTTCTTCGGGTATTTGATGGCAACGTTTTCTCTCACTGAGCGTTGAGAGAGCGGTCGATGGCTGCGAAGCGGACACCGGGCAGGTACCGGTGAAAATTTCCTTACTTAAGGTTGCCAACCAGCTGGGCCGGTTGACCTGAGTCTTTTGTGCCATTGAGCAAGATGATGTTTATGGGGGGCGACGACCAACTGTTATTTGCACCCATTTGAGTTTTTTGGTCCACCTGCTTGCATGGTCATGGCCACCTTCAACTCATGAACTGTGTAGTTGCGCCGCAAGAGAGACAGACAGTTGGGGGGTGGCAATGTGTCACGATGATAACATGGCAGCACGTTCGTCATGTCAGGTAACGCATGTCGTTACTGAATGTGAGCGGTGGCAGCACTGGCAGGTTTTTTTTGTAGATAAAAAGTGACTTAATTAGCCGAATAGGTTTTTGTTATCCCTCGCGTGACAAAAAAGCTCAGCTGTGTTGTCAAAGTGAGTTTATTCGTTGGTGTGTGGTGGACAGCAACGGGAGCTGACATGCCGGCTCCACGAAAAAAGACATCGGCGTTGGGCTCCAATCCTGTGGTTATTGGGACCTGTACTGACCCGGCAACACGTTCCGCATTCCCCCTGGTAATAAGCCTGTGATAGCCCCCCTCTCCCCCTCTTCGATAAATTGGCTGCGTGTTCCTCATCTCATCATCTCCCCTCTCTCCCTCTCTGCCACTTGGGGCTACGCGTCTCCTCTCCTCCCTCCCTTGCGTGTGCAGACACCCATCATCCCAAGAGCCCTTCCTGTGTACCTGGCCCCGTACATGTCTCCGCGACCCATTCTCAAACCTCGCTTAGAACTTCCTACCGAAGAGCCACTTGTAGAACCATTCCCGTTTGCCACATGTCCGTCTCTCTTGCTCACTCGCCACGTCCACTTCCCACCCACGCCGACGCTTACGTCGACATTCACGACCCACTCTTCGTCCGCGTACGACCGCACTCCTGTCGTTGTCGCCCCGAACACCTGTGCGCTCCCAGGTCGTCACGAACGAGAGTTGTTCATAGACAATAACACTTCTGGTTATGAGAGGCGCGAATCTGAGTCGTCCTCTGATACCGCCTACTCACAGGACACGAAAATCGGCTCCCAAAGGGAGCTACTTCCACCCTCGCGCTTATGAAGCATGCGCGCCTGAGCCTTGTCCTTCGCCTTTATGGTCATCGCCAGGTCATTCCGCCTCTCCCTGGTTTCCTCCTCGTCCACTCATACTTGATACTTTACATGACTTCCCTCCAGACTCAGATAGCTCGTCGTCGGATAGTCCAATCTCGACGCCGACGGACGACGAGCTCGATGTTGCTTCGCATCGTTCCATGTCAATGCTTTACGCTCCGACTAACCCCGCATCGTGTACATCTCCACCGTCACGCCATAATATGAACGCACCAATGATACCCCCCAATTCGTACCTGTCCCCCGAAGGCCCAACATTGTCATATTCAAATTACCATCACCCCCAGTCCTCGCCTTCCACGAAGGAGAGGAAAGCCGGGAAGAGATCCAGCAACGAAAATAATCAACCGCGGAATCCGAAGGGTTCTCGCAAAGAGGCCGTTTTCAAACTCGATCATCAACAACGCAGCAGTTTCACGTTTCCCTCCCTCGATTTTGAGGGTTGTCTTGGAGGATTCTAAACTACCCATGGTCGCATTCCTAACAAGACACGCGTGTCCCGATAGTCTGGTGCTGGATTTCTTTTTTCCCCTTGTCCCCACTTTTCACGTTAATCCATCACTGATATTGGATATTATCGGATATACGGATACAGATAATCTGTGTTTTCGTGTCCTCTCCACCCAGCGTTCACCCTCCGAGGGCTCGCTCGGGTGTACTACGGGGATTATTCTGGGACGATGACGAGCTCATGACACTTTACCCCACAGTAAGAAGTCAATACCCAATCCTGCGATGTACACTCCTGTACACTCCACATGCAGTAGCCCAATGTATTACCACCCATTCGGCGTTCGTTCTGATATAATTTTAGTTTTATTTGTTGAGTTGTGATATTGTCACATCCACATACGTCTGACAGACATGCGACACGGACTGACACGGGACTTTGAAAAGACATGATTTGACAGATCGCCGTAGATACGAATTCCCCGTGTAGTCACAGGTGATGCGTGGTTGTAATTGATCGATTTGCAAGTTGTTGTGACGCGTGATGGACGGACAGAATTCTAGTCAGTGTTGTTAGGCGCAAAAAGGCGCAAAACCGCGCAGATCTAGAGTCTCACTCCTTGTAGGGAGTTGATATACGTGGAGAGCTGCCTGTCGCATGCAGTCTGAGATGGCAGTATTGCACGTCGGGGGTAAACGGGAGGAATTGTCACTCTGTCATAGGACACTTGCTAGGTGCAATAGGGTTTAGTGCAAACGGCCATTACTGGTATCATGAAGAGCTGCCTAGCAGGAGTTAATAGGCTGTTCAGCCATCGGCCCCATTATCGGTTAGATGAACAGAAACCGCCTGATCCAAGGACACAGTGAGGAGACTTACCCATGACAATTGTCACCGAATATGCACATACACCCACATGTCGGCACCGATCGGGTTTCGCAGCTCTGGGCACTCTCCACGTTCCATTACTTCGAGTCCGAAAACCTACCCCTTGTATTTCGGAGTGCGGCACAACTAGGCGAGGCTCCCGGACTCCAAAAGTACAAATCCAGGGGTGTCGTAGAATTCTGGGTTCCTGATGCCAGTCAGTGGTCGAGAGTCGTCCGCCCTCGTCCGCGGGTAAGATGCTTACTACGTGTTGCCCAGCGAAGCGACCTCTGTTGGGTGTAATAGCTGCGACGCACCGTTTTTGAGATCGTAGCTCCTTGAGGATATATCCGCTACGCGTTCTTGGTGGAATTTTGGTCGATAGCCGAGTATGACACGCACCTCGAGGCCGCACCGGAGACAGAACGTGGACAACCAGGCTAGGGCGGACGCTGGACCGCACACCGCCCTGGTTCGTGATCGATGCTTATAAAGTACCACTCTCGTGAGATAGTATGGAACGTTTTGAAGGCGAGATTGGTAATGTGATGCGGACGGTGTGCATACATAGTCCGCAGAGCGGGAAACGCACACTTCATGCGTAGTCACCTAAACCTAGTAGGAAGGTTCAGTTCCGGTGGACCCGCTCACCTTTCTAGATGGTGCCCTTTTGAAATACCAGTGATATGAGAGCCAAGAACAGAGATCTGAGTTACGTAGATGAATTGGTCACTCGGAAAAAAGGCCTTCCGTCGGATTGGTCGCCGCCCCCGAACATGCAAGCGCAAAAATCGCTTAGATGGTTGCGCCCAACCCACCCACCTCCAGAGGACTGTGGATTCAAAGATGAAAGTTTATTCGGGGGATGGAAGCGGAAAGTTTCGCTTTCATGTCACAGGGTCCCTACACGCTTACCCGCGATGGAACTTTGGTAACATGGGACAGAGAACACGTTTGCCCCACGGGTGGGAGAGAGACGAAAGGTTTAGATAGATTGAGTGGGAAGGGGACCCAGCCTTTATGAAGACTTCTAGGACATTTCATGATGCAATAGTGAAGTCATGACTCGACGCGCAGCGCCACCGACGACACAACATAAGGCACTTTGTACACTTGTGTACAGCATCGATTACCCACATAGACAACTACTGTCCACAAGACGACGCATGTTTCGTCGTCACGGACCATTTATGATGTGTGTTATTTTGGTGTAGAAATGTAGCGCTAGTGAGATGATTGAGGATGGGCAGTGTACTCACCGGGGCGGCCCAGCTGAATCTTCCGAAGGTCAGTGCGCAGGTTTCGACCTCAGAGCGGCGTGGGAATTTGAATCTTCGGAGTGGTGAATCAACAGAACTGCCCCCCGTTTCCCCCCTTCTCTGCAACCACCACCCAACCGACATCCTCCTGTCGTCGTCGTTCATCACAACACAACACAAATCAACTTCAACGCCGATAATCGCATCTTTCAATGGCTCGCACCAAGGTAATGCATCGTCTATGGTGTTGTTTCAATTTTTTATAGTAGTAATACCAACCCCATGCAGCAAACCGCCCGTAAGACTACCGGAGGTGAGATAAGCGCGACATCACACAACAACCTGTCATGGCTAACCAACACCACTTCTAGGCAAAGCCCCCCGCAAGCAACTTGCCACCAAGGCTGCTAGGAAGACCGCAACAACGGTAGGCTCCCCTTACTTCCAGTGACGTGGCAGCTGATCATTGGTGGCTGCTATCCTTCAGGCTCCTACTGGTGGTGTGAAGAAACCTCACCGCTTCCGCCCCGGAACGGTGGCCCTTCGTGAAATCAGAAGGTACCAAAAGTCTACCGAGCTTCTGATCAGGAAGCTCCCCTTCCAACGCCTCGTCCGCGAGATTGCACAGGACTTCAAGGTTTGTTCTCCCATTCCCCTTCTCACATTTGATTTCTCTTCGAATGACACTGACCTCCATATCACAGACCGACTTGCGCTTCCAGTCCTCCGCTGTCATGGCACTGCAGGAAGCCGCTGAGGCTTACCTTGTCTCACTCTTCGAAGACACCAATTTGGCGGCCATCCATGCCAAGCGTGAGTCATCTTGTCTTGCTGCGTACAAATTTAAAATTCACACGCACTGCTTTTTTCTCCAGGTGTTACCATGTATGTCTCGCTCTGCCCGTTTTCCGTTCCGCTGCGGATCTGCGATTTATATCACTGACTTCTCATTTGCAGTCAACCCAAGGACCTTGCGTTGGCTCGCCGTCTCAGAGGCGAGAGGTCTTAAAGGGCTTTCCCCCTGAAGAACATCCGAAATCGACTACATTTCACCAAGGTCTCCCCAGTTGTGTCTGTGCCACTCTCCTATTGTATTACGATAAAGTTTCCACATTTCTAGTATGTATGAGTGGGATGGTGTGAAGTGTGGGTTCGTCCGCTTTTGTTCTTTTTCTCCCCTTTTGCGTAGCCATTCCATCGACCTGTTGATGGGGCTTTTGTTTTTGTCGCTCTGGGAGCCTATGACTGGACACGAGTGCGGAATGTAGAGGCAAACGCTTGTATTAGCTGTGTATTTACGGTACATGTAGGCTAATGCAGACAACCAACTCGTTCGCCGCTACCATTTGGGCGATGCAGCTGATCGGTGGTGAAACAGTTCCAAGGTACGTGATGGAAGTTGCTGATTTAAGGTGGCGACATTCGCTGTGCTATTTCTCCCCCTGCTCCTGCTACTACCTACAGTGGGATGAACACGCACTGATTGTTCGAGGCATTTGTGCTTCATTCCTGCGGGTTCGGCGGCACCACGCGAGTCCGATAGAGCTAAGCGTATCAGCGTCTACATGTGTTTAAACTCGCGAGTTAGGAGCATTGGGTTTACGCGTGTATTGCAGTTACTAAAACTCGTTAACGAGTTTCCGGTGCGTTTTCCACGTGTTGGACTGAAGCTCACGCAAACGCGATAAATTCGTGTTAAACTTCTCGGTGATTGTCTGCATCTATTAATTTTCACGCAAAGACGGGGTCCTCTTGCCATAAGGTCTGGCACTTCTAGGAGGCTACCGAATTACGAACCCGATGATGACGGGGGAGGTCGCCGATTAGTCAACAGTTTGAGTCTCTGGCCAATGGCCATGCTCATTTGGGACCCAATCGAGTCGGCGTGTGCATAATAATAAGTTAAGTATTACGCCTGTGGGATCCAGGCTGGAACGTATGTGTGTGTCCCTGAACACGCGCTTCTCCGGCGCTAAGGAAGCTTCCAAGCTGTACGCTAACATTCATTTCTACATGCCCCCGAGCTATAGACCACCTATGTGGTATTTGCAGTGCGTTGGGGCCTTGCTGGGGACACTTTCCTACTCATCCGGTGCTCTTACGAAGTCGTTAAATTTCAATCTTCTCAGCACTTCAGCGCCTAGCATCTGTCATGAGCGCATCAGCATTACTCGGAGGGGAAGCACCGGTCCACGCAGGTGACTCCTTTTATCAAGAGGCGCCAAGGTGCTTTTAATACTTTCACCCCTGGCTTCGCGATTATAAGATTGAGTGGGTTCTGACAATGTGGCCTTGCCCCATAACCCGTTTGCTCATCCATGTCAGAGTCCTCATCTCCCTCGCAGAGTCTTCACCCTTTTCCGTCTCATGGAGCTCGACCTGCTGGTTTTGCTTCGTTACATGCCACCGACACTTCGGGTTCGACTGTTCACATGTCGGGATACATGGAAGACGTGATACCTCCTGCTCACGACAACCGTACTCTCGTTCTCTGCTTTGATGGGACTGGCTCCGAGTTCAATATGAAGGTAGAGAATTTTATTCCTACTGATCCCTGAAGCATAGAGTCGATCGCATTCGTTGCCAGAACTCGAATATTGGTCAGTTTTTCACAATGCTGAAGAAGGACAGTCCTCAACACCAGATGGTTTACTACCACGTATGTTCAGTGCACTAGACCGCCTCTTCTGCCGTTAACGGCCAGGTTCCGCTATAGGCTGGAATGGGTACCAATACTATTCCTAAGCTATCCAACATCATCGATATGATGATCGGAACACATTTTGATGCGCATGTAATGGGTGCGTAATCAATATGCCCACATTCACATTTCAATTAATGAACGCCTTTGTCTTTGGTTCCACAGAGGGCTACGAGTTTCTAATGGAGAGCTGCACGTCTCTATCTGCTTTCTCGTCTGATGTGGGGACTAATGTAGCGTGGTTTGTACACAGACCAGGCAGGTGACAAGATATGTCTTTTCGGATTCTCGAGTGGGGCCTACACGGCGCGTGCTCTAGCTGGCATGTAAGAATTTGGTGCGTGATGCGCTACCACGGGCATGTTAACTGGATCCAGGCTCCACAAAATAGGGCTTCTGCCACGATGCAACCACCAACAAGTCCCGTTCGCATATAAGATGTACAGTCAGGATGACCGGGAAGGGTGGAGGCAAAGTCGGGCGTTCAAGAAGGCATTTTCGATTGACGTCAGTGTCGAGTTTGTCGGCGTTTGGTGAGTTTTCGGATTGGTCCAGACCTTGTTGTTGTAGCCCGTCGCCATTGACGCTTCTGGACCTTCAGGGACACAGTTAATTGTGTAGGCATTGTACCACGTAGATTGCCGTTTACCAGGGCGAATAATAAGATTCGCTACTTCAGGCATGCACTCTCACTTGACGAACACCGAGTGTATGTATTTTTTCGTGTACAGTCTTCAGTTCCCGACGGAGAACCATCTTTCCATACAGGCGATTTATACCCAGTTTCTGTCATCAACCAATAGAAACGAACAATGATAAACAAGCAGTTCGCCAAGGCGAGACGCCGCACACCTGCGAGAAGAAATCTTACGCTCTCCATATCACACATCACGCAAAAAGTGGTGTGGACGTACATCACCGAGGGTGCGAGGAGCTAGAATATCGTTTCCAGCAATCGACGACTCCCACCGATGCGCAGGAAGTGTGGTTTGCAGGTTGCCATCGAGGTGTGTACCTGTCCTTACGACAAATGGCCATAAAACGATGAGATCTGATTTTTCCCGGAATTTTAGATGTGGGAGGTGGAGCTGAGAATAACGGTACCCGGCATAGTCTATCACGCATATCCTTGCGGTGGATGATTAGGGAATGTTTTAAAGCCAGGACTGGCATCCTCTTCCAGCGGTCAATGTTCCAACAAATTGGGATGGATCCTGAAACATTGTATCCTCATGTGCTGGAACGCCCACCGGCCTTGACGAATACGCCCACAGCTTCCCCTGTATCGCGCAAATTCGAAGGAGACTCGTCAAACCAGGACACCGATTTCACAAGCGAAGAGCAAGAGGACCTCGCTGATGCATCAAGTCCCATACATGACAGGCTCAAGATGAGGCCTATCTGGTGGATACTTGAGTGTCTTCCGCAAAAGCTGCGCTACCAGAGAGATAAGGACAATGCTTGGGTGACTAAGATCAGGTGCGTCATGAACATTCTCTCGTCGTATTACCATTCACTGTTCTTCCTTTCAACATTAGTGTGAACAGGGGTAGGGGTCGCCGCGTTCCAAGACAAGACGCGGGCGTTCAGGTGCATCGGACGGTCAAGATACGAATGGAAGCAGAGGGGTTTCCAGAGAAGTATCAGCCTAAGGCGAAAGTCAAGGTCAAGCCTACCTGGGTCGACTAAGGCGCCTAGATGGAGGGAACTGGAAGGTCTTTATTTCGCCTGCTTCAACTGGATGATGATACTAGGCTAGAGTATCATATGTCGGTTGATCAAGAGCGAAATCGAATGAAATCCCGTTCTGCCTCAGTAATGACGGGTTACAGTGGGTGGGTGGAGGTCCCGAATATGAGACGCTACATAAGAGAGTGAAGGAATCTGTATCTTGCTCCAAGAGGTGGGCTGCGCCCACTGAATAAACTGATTTTGTCAATGCACTACATGCAAGCCGAATGCAAAGCCCGCATGGTATGACCGTACGCTGCATATGACATGCACGTGGTGAACGGCCGCTCTGCCGGATTGGAGCGTTTTGAATCTCTGCTACTAGCCCGAAATCGTGTATTCCCCTCTGATGCCATCTGCCGTCTTATGATAGTTACCGAATATCTCCTGTAAACGTTTGAAACTGCGGAGCTAGAGCAGGTCATTTCATGCGACCGGAAATTGGTATAACTCACCTTGAGCTCACCTCTGCATTCTGTTGTTGACCTTGGAAACCCTATAATAGGGAACGGAAAGATAGAGACACCTGCGAAGGACATATAAGAGACACGATACGTGTGCGATTGGCGGGAATGCACTCGGAGCGGAGGAAAAGAAAGAAAAAGAATTGACAATACATATTGAATGGATCCAGGAAAGTATGTAGGGTCGCACTACAGGGTTGGCATGACGAGACGAGTAGTAATCAAGAAAATTGAGGTAACGCCTGCGATGTTTGTAGAGGCGCGAAGTGCTTGAGATTGGTGAATCTGCCTGGTCCTGAGCTTGGCACGCAACTATTAATCCACCCATTCTGGTTCAACCTCGAATCTCGCTCTCGGAGTTCTTTCCTTCCTGCAGTCCGTCCGTGTCCATCCGTATCTTAACCGTTCCATATACCCTGAGGGTTTCTCGTCCTTGTGCAGGGATATGTCGCCCCTTTCCCATGTTCAGTCTGATCTCAGATAGAAACGAAGAAAAACCAGCTCAATACACGGATTTCCAGACGGAATATGGGAGTTACATACCTGATATGCGTGACCCACTTGTCATCCTCCTCTCTCCGGTACCACAGCTTTTGCGGCAGCATTTCAGGTATCCACCAGCACGGGGCAATCTTGAGTTGATCGTAGATAGGACTCAGCGCGTCATTGAGGTCTTCCAATTCCTCGCTCTGCGAATTTGCTGCAAAGCTCACACTGGATTACTGCATGATCATCACAAGGTGCGTTAGGGTCAGCGTCTATCGGGCCGTTATAAATGGGCGGTGCGCGGGAAACTACGAGAGGAACAATGTTGAGGGGTCCATGCCAATCTGCTGGAACATCGAGCGGTGGAAGAGAATGCCTACTTCGGTTTTGAAAATCTCCTGAGTCATCCACCGGAGAGGGATACTTTTAACTGTTTCGAGTACTATTCTTGACGGAACCATCATCAACGCCTGAAATGGAGTTGCGAATATTAAGACCCTGTCAATTCCTGGACTGTCCGAGCTTACCGCAGTGACATCCTGCGGACCATACTTCATCGACATCAGTTTGCAAGATTGACTGGGCGTACCGACGCTCCAGATCCTGAAGACTTGATTTCTGGTGGTGCCTGTTCGAGCTGCTTTTCGATGCAGAAGCTGGACGTGGGGAATATGAGTGGAGGGATATCCCCTGGTGCTTCGAGGCATTTCCCATCTCTGAATGCCAAGCTTACAGCGGTTTACGAAAATAATGTTGGTAGCAAAATGTTTGTAAGCGCGTCGTGAGCTCTGCCTGATATGGAAATGTAGGAATTCGTCGCCTTCGTTTGTCTACGTAACCAGCGCATATGACCAAACTACATGATGTGCTCACGAGATGGCGCAGTAAACACACACCACTGCTTCTGCAATGACTGTAGAACTACTCTGCATTGAAGGAGCTCTCAATAACATGTACTGCAATGTACCCATCCACTGTCATTGCGGCACAAAGTATCCATCACCTCGAACAAACACGTCCTTTAGCTGTGCATGGTGACTATATGCTGCTCTTCCATGGTGCTGAGCGAGCGTGTGCTCGTTCTTGCTCGTTTCGTTGACGACCGCGAGTTCTGACCCGTCGCCAGTGAGATTTTGGTGAGTCGGGGTGACGTGGTAGTTAGTCCCACTAGTATTTTCATGCCAGCTTGGTACAGTTTCCCTATTGGGCAGAGCTCACGACACGCTCACAAATATTTTGCTACTGACATTATTTTCGCAAACCGCTGTAAGTAATGTCGACTGCTATTGTAGTTCTGCATGAAGCGTCTGTACAAGGATTCAGATGTCTAAGCATTAGCATATCATAAACATATGTCCAGTACATGATTGTCCTACTCGTACTTCCATCTGCCACAGGTCTACTTGAGGTAGTCAGGTCTCTGAGCTGTATGGTATCTCCAAATTATGATAAAACCTTTCACCTTGTTTACAAGGTCACTGCACCCCGAAAATTGAGACGCTTTTCTCGACATCTGCATTTGCCTCAACAACAAGTCCGTGCAGGCAAATCCCACCAGCCACCTCACAACTGTAGCATGCTCGGGCGTGGTAAACAAGGTGCCTGCCGGCGACGGCCCTGTTCTAGTTTTATTGGTCCGCTCTGGAAAGAAAAAGAAAAAACATGGAAGAGTGACTGAAGGGTGACTGCAAAAGTCGCGCAATCACCCGTTTTATTTTGTTTGTTTAATGTTACAGATGCAGCGTCATAGGGTCCGTCCACTTTTTGTTCTTTTTCCCCCCTTCTTTTACGTAGCCATTCCATCGACCTGTTGATGGGGGCTTTCTTTGTTTTTGTCGCGCTGGGAACCTATGGCTAGACGTGCGTGCGGGATGTAGAGGCAACCGCTTGTATTGGCTGTGTATTTACGGTACCTGTAGGCTAATGCGTCGCTAACGCAGACAACCAACTCGTTCGCCGCTACCGCCTGGGTGATGGAAACAGTTCGAAGCTCCTGCCTAAGTACGTGATGAAGTGGTCTGAAGTGGCAACATCTGCTAAGCTATTTCTCCCTCTGCTCCCACTACTCACAGAGGAAGGAATACGCACTGATTGTCCAAGATATTTGTGCTTCATTATTGAGGGTTCGGCGGCATCTCGCGAGTTCGATAGAGCGAAGTATACCAGCGTCTAGATTGCAATGTTGTGTTTAAACTCACGAGTTGGATAGAGCTCACGCAAACGCGATAAATTCGTGTTAAGCTTCTCGGCAAGTGATTGTCTGCATCTATAATTTTCGCACAAAGAGGGCGTCTTCTTGCCGTAAGGTTTGGCATTTCCAGGAGGCTACTGCATTACGAAGCCGATAATGACAGGAGGTCGCTGATGAGTCAACAGTTTGTGGGTCCTCTGGCCAATTATTAGCCATGCTCATTTGGCATTCCATCGAGACGGTGTGTATACAATAACAGGTTCGATAAGCCTGTAGGATGCAGGCTGGAATGTATGTGTCCCTCAACACGCGCTTCTGCGGCGCTCAGGAAGCTTCCAAGCTGTACGCTAACATTCAGTTCTGCATGCCCCCAAGCTATAGAGCATCTATGTGGTTTTTGCAGTGCGTTGGGGCCTTACTGGGGACACTTTCCTACTCATCCGGTGCAAGATTATGATACGGAGTCATAAATTTCTTCTCAGCACTTCAGCGCCTAACGTCTATCATGAGCGAAACAACATTACTTCAGAGGGGAAGTACTGGTCCACGCAGGTGACTTCTTTTATCTAGAAGCGGCAAGGTGCTTTTAGTACTTTACCCCTGTCTTTGCGATTATAAGATTGAGTGGGTTCTGACAATGTGGTCTTGCCCCATAACCCATTTACTCATCCATGTCAGAGCCCTCATCTGCATCGCAGACTCTTCATCCTTTTCCATCTCACGGAGCTCGACCTGCCGATCTTGCTTCATTACACGCCACCGACGCTTCGGGTTCGACTCTTCAGATGTCAGAATCCATGGAAGACGCGGTACCTCCTGCTCATGACAACCGCACTCTCGTTCTCTGCTTTGATGGGACTGGCTCCGAATTCAATATGAAGGTAGATAATTTTATTCCTACTGATCCCTGAAGCATAGAGTCGATCGCATTCGTTGCCAGAACTCGAATATTAGCCAGTTTTTCGCAATGCTAAAGAAGGACAGTCCTCGACACCAGATGGTATATTACCACGTATGTTCAGTGCACTAGACCGTGTGTTCTGCCGTTAACGGCCAGGTTCCGCCATAGGCTGGAATGGGTACCAATACTGTTCCTAAGTTATCCAACATCATCGATATGATGGTCGGAACACATTTTGATGCGCATGTAATGGGTGCGTAATCAATATGCCCACATTCACATTTCAATTAATGAACGCCTTTGTCTTTGGTTCCACAGAGGGCTACGAGTTTTTAATGGAGAGCTGCACGTCTTTATTTGCTTTCCCGCCTGATGTGGGGACTGACGTGGGCTTGCACACAGACCAGGCGGGTGACAAGATATGTCTTTTTCGGATTCTCGAGTGGGGCCTACACAGGCGCGTGCTCTAGCTGGCATGTAAGAGTTTGGCGTGATGCGCACCACGGGCATGTTAACTGGATCCAGGCTCCACAAAATAGGGCTTCTGCCACGATGCAACCACCAACAAGTCCAGTTTGCGTATGAGATGTACAGTCGGGATGACCGGGAAGGGTGGAGGCAAAGTCGGGCGTTCAAGAAGGCATTTTCGATCGACGTCAATGTCGAGTTTGTCGGCGTTTGGTGAGTTTTCGGATTGGTCCAGACCTTGTTGTTGTAGCCCGTCGCCATTGACGCTTCTGAACCTTCAGGGACACGGTTAATTGCATAGGCATCGTACCACGTAGATTGCCGTTCACGAGGTCGAATAATAAGATTCGCTACTTCAGGCATGCACTCTCACTTGACGAACAGCGAGCGTATGTATTTTTTCTGTACAGTCCTCAGTTCCCAACGGAGAACCATCTTTCCATACAGGCGATTTATACCCAGTTTCTGGAATCAAACGATAGAAACGAACAATGATACACAGGCAGTTCGCCAAGGCGAGACGCCGCACACCTGTGAGAAAAAATCTTACGCTCTCCATATCACACATCACGAAGAAAGTGGCCTGGACGTACATCATCGAGGGTGCGAGGACCTAGAGTATCAGTTTCTCGCAATCGACGACTCCCACCGATGCGCAGGAAGTGTGGTTTGCAGGTTGCCATCGGGGTGTGTGCCTGGCATTACGACAAGTGGCCATAAAACGATGAGATCTGATTTTTCCCGGAATTTTAGATGTGGGAGGTGGAGCTGTGAAGAACGGTGCCAGGCATAGTCTATCACGCATATCTTTGCGGTGGATGATTAGGGAGTGTTTTAAAGCCAGGACTGGCATCCTCTTCCAGCGGTCAATGTTCCAACAAATTGGGATGGATCCTGAAACATTGTATCCTCACGTGCTGGAACGCCCACCGGCTTTGACGAACACGCCCACAGCTTCCCCTGTATCGTGCAAACTCGAAGGAGACTCGTCAAACAGGGACACCGAGGACACCGATTTCTCGAGCGAAGAGCAAGAGGACCTCGCTGATGCATTAAGTCCCATACATGACAGGCTCAAGATGACGCCTATCTGGTGGATACTTGAGGGTCTTCCGCAACAGCTGTGCTACCAGAGAGACAAGGACAATGCTTGGGTGACTAAGATCAGGTCCGTCACGAACGTTTTCTCGCTGTATTAAAATTCACTGTTCTTCCTTAGTGTGAACAGGGGTAGGGGTCGCCGCGTTCCAAGACAAAGCGCGGGCGTTCAGGTGCATCGGACGGTCAGGATACGAATGGAAGCAGAGGGGTTTCCAGAGAAATATCAGCCTAAGGCGGAGGTCGAGGTCGAACCTACCTGGGTCGACTAAGGCGCCTAGATGGAGGGAAATAGAGGGTCATTTGGTTCGCCTGCTACAATTGGATGATGATACTAGGCTAGAGTATCATATGTCAGGTGATCAAGAGTGAAATCGAATGAAATCCCGTTGTGTCTCGTAGTAATGACTGGCCACAATGGGTGGGCGAAGGTCCCAAATGTATGAGATACTACATAAGCGAGTAATGGAATCTGGATCTTGCTCCTGGGGGGGGGCTCTGGATGGAGCAGCGCGCACTGAATAAAGTGATTTTGTCAATGCACGACATGCAAGCCGAATGCAAAGCCCACATAGTGCGACCGTTTCCCTCTGATGCCATCTGCTGTCTTATGGTAGTTACTAAATGCCTCGTGTAGAAGTTTGAAATTGCGGAGCTAGAACAGGTTATTTTATGCGACCCGCAGTTGGTACAATTCACCTTGAACTCACTTCTACAATCCTGTTGAGCTTAGAATTCCTACAAAAGATAGAGGCACGTGCCGAGGGCATGTAAGATATACAACACATGTGAAAGTGGCGGGCACACTCGGAACAGAGGAAAAGAAAAGAAAGAGAATTGGCAATACTAAATGTCTCCAGAAAAGTATTAAGTGTCGCACTGAAGGGTTGGTATAACGTTGCTTGAGACAATGAAAAAGTCTGGTAGGACCGTACGAGACGAGTAGTACAAGGTAACGATGGTATGTTTGTAGAGGCGCGAAGTGCTTGACATTGAGGGATCTGCCTTGATCCCAGGCTTGGCACAGCAATTGTTAATCCATCCATATTGGTTCAACCTTGAGTTTCGCTCTCGGAAAATATTTCCCTTCCGGAAGTGCCTCTGCTTGCATCCGGATCTTGACCGATCGATGTATCTTTAGGCCCCGCCGTTGATTGGGGATATGGCGTCCCCTACCCATGTTCACCCTAAAGTCAAATCAAGAGAAATTCAAGCCAGTTCAGCTCACGGACTCCCAAACGGAAGACGAGAGTTACACACTTGATAATCCTGGCCCACATGTCATCCTCATCTCTCTGGTAGTGCTGCTTTTGCGGCAGCATTTCGAGTATCCACCAATACGGCGTAATCTTGAGTTGATCGTACATGGGGCTGAGCGCATCATAGAGATCCTCCATTTCCTCGCTCACAAATTTGCCGTCAGGATCACGCTGGATTACTGCATGGTCATCACAAGGTGCGTTAGGGTCAGCGTTTGCAGGGCTGTTATAAATGGGCGGTGGACGGGAAACCACGTGAGGGTACAATGTTGAAGGGTCCATGCCAATCTGCTGGAACATCGAGCGGTGGAAGAGAATTCCCACTTCGGTTTTGAAAATCTCTCGAATCATCCAGCGGAGAGGGATACGTGCTACACTGTTTCGAGTACCATTCTTGACGGAACCACCACCGACGTCTGAAACAGAGTTGCAAGTATTAAGACCATGTCAATTCCTGGACTGTTCGAGCTTACCGCAGTGACATCCTGCGAACCATACTTCGTCGAAAGCGGTCTGCAAGGATTGATTCGGTGTAGCGACGCTCCAGATCCTGAAGACTTGATTCCTGATGGTGTCCATTCGAGCTGCTTTTCTCATGCAGAAGCTTGTCGTAGGGAATATGAATGGAGGAGAACTTCTTGGTGCTTCGAGGCATTTCTCCTTTCTGGACGCCAAGTGTATTGTCGGCGTCTGTGGACCAGTTGTAGAAGTTCGGCATAAAGCGCCTGTACAAGGATTCAGATATATGAACATTAGCCTACGCAAAACATCAGTTGGGTACATACACTCGGTGTTCATCAAGTGCAAGAGCATGTCTGAAGTAGCGAATCTTGTTGTTTGCTCCTTGTGAAAGGCAGCCTGCGAGGGATGATGCCCACAGACTTAACAGTATCCCTATCCGAAGCACCCACATGATATAGAAGTTAGTGGAACCAAACCCTACGACGTCCCAATTGGTTCAAGAAGCTTACCAAACCCCCACGAATTCGACATCAACGTCGATAGAAAACCCCTTCTTGAGTGCCGTACTCTGCTTCCAGCCTTCTTCATCATCTTTGCGATACATTTTGTACGCAAACAGAAGATGCCTGGTGGTTGCAGCGTGGTAAGAGACCCACTTTGTGAAGCCTACAGTGGGGCTGAAGCAAGATCTGGCATTTTGCACCCTACGAAGCCTTACATGCCTGCCAGCGCGCGCGCGGTGTAGGCGCCTGTGGAAAATCCAAACAGACATATCCTATTCCCAACCTCATCTGTACAGTTGACGTATCAGTATCGAAGTCATGCGGAGGTGTGAGGAAAGCTCACAATTTTGCATCAAGAACTCGTAACCACCTGTCGAAAGCAAACGTAGTCGTTAGCGCCGCAACGAGAGGGGGATGCGGAGGCTCTGCGGCATACCCAAAATGTGAGCATCGAGGTCCCTCCCCTTCACAGTCAGGGGCATCCCGGCCTTATATTGCGGCCGGACATGAATGGTAATAAACGCAGGTCGAATGTGGCCAAGCCTACCTGGTAGTACACGACTTGCTGAGAGGGGTCATCCTTTTTCAACATATCGAATAACTGAACGACGTTCGAGTTCTAGCGGCGAGTGGAAGTCAACAAGCTTTGTGGAACGAACAGGACGGCGACCACCCACATCTTCGTGGAACTGGTTATATGTGCCATCAAAGCAGAGCACGAGAGTGCGATGGGCGTGGGCAGGGGGAATCACGTCGTCCGAAGACTTCGACATCATGATAATGGAACCCTAAGCTAGGCCCGTCAACAACGTTAAGCGCTCAAAACTCGCGATTTTGAGCGCTTACAGCGGTTTGCGAAAATAATGTCAGTTAGCAAAATATTTGTGAGCGCGTCGTGAGCCCTTCCCGATATGGGAATGTAGGAATGTGTGCGTTCATCCCATTCATTTGTCTACATACTACTAGCGATGGCCGAACTACATCATGTACTCACGAGATGGCGCAGTAAACAACATGTGCTGCAACGTACTTACCCATTCACTGTTATTGCGGCACATAGTATCTATCATCTCGAACAAACGCGTCCTTTAGCTGTGCACAGTGACTATATCCTGGTCTTCTGTGGTGTTGGGCGAGCGTACCGCTCGTTCTTACTCGTTTCGTCAACGACCGCGAGTTCCGACCCGTCGCCAGTGAGATTTTCGTGAGTCGGAGTGACGCCAGTAGTTAGTCTCACTAGTGTTTTCATGCCAGCTTGGTACGTTTCCTTGTTGGGCGGAGCTCACGACGCGCTCACAAATATTTTGCTAACTGACATTATTTCCGCAAACCGCTGTAATGTTTGCCAAGTGTGCATGCCGTAATTAGTAGCGTGGGCACACTGACGACGTTACGTGGTTAACGAAGGCGACCGAATAACCTACTTCCCGTGATGTGACATGATCTGCGGAGCCCTGCAACGAGGCTTGAGTCGAGGTTTGTTTCAAGTCTTCCATTGTCCTTCTACCAGAAGCATATAAGCTACCCATCGCATCTGAAGATACCACCTTACACTCTTAGGTACCCGAAGAAGTACGTGCGATGACCTAGACTAAACGTCGCCCCAGTGCTGAGCTGTTTGTCCACCTTTTAAGGAGATGCGGCTATTGGATGTAGACGCCGTTCTCGGCCGGGAAAAGGACATCCAACGAGCTGATCCCAACGTCGAGGTTCTGAAAGAAGCCGATAGCAAGAGTACAAGTTATGCGATACTCTCACATCGGTGGGGAACCGAGGTCAGTTATGAAGAGATGATAGGGCTAATGGAGATGGACGACGGAAAGAGGGAGAAGGTTAGAAACCGTGATGGCTACAAGAAGATCATCAAGAGCTGCGAGAAAGCTATGAGCGATGGCCACAAGTTCTTGTGGGTTGATACATGTTGTATCAACAAACAAAGCAGCGCCGAGCTATCAGAGGCCATCAATTCGATGTATCAGTGGTATCGAGACGCACAGGTGTGCTATGCGTACCTCCATGACATTGACGAGCCAGCCTTTCCTGCTGAACCAGACTATGGCAAGTTCAATTCTTCCAACGGTTGGCCGGAGTGGTTTTTGCGGGGCTGGACGCTCCAGGAACTCATCGCTCCGAAAGAAGTCCAATTCTTCAACAAGGGCTGGATGTGTATTGGTGACAAGCGGAACCTGGCACACAAGTTAGAGCGCATCACACAAATTCCTGACCGTGTGTTAAGGGGTGGTCTGGTGTCAGCATCTTCCAGTGTCGCCCAAATTATGTCGTGGGCAGCTGACCGGAAGACAACGCGGGTGGAAGATCGGGCGTATTCGTTGTTAGGGTTGTTCGGAGTGAGTATGCCGATGTTGTATGGAGAGGGGGAGAGAGCATTCCGACGACTGCAACTGGAAATCATCCGGGAATCCAACGATTGCAGCATATTTGCATGGGATCCCTATGCAAGGGTGCCGCGGTATGGCAGCGTCCTTGCAGATGACCCGAGCTACTTCAGGGCTTGTCGCTGCATCCAGAAGGACCTTGATACATCATTCGTCGACAAGTTGATCATGTATATCGACAAACACAAACTCGGCCGCCTCAAGAACGAAGCCGAATCGCGCAAAGATGCCAAAAAACTTTCTGTTTTCCTCGCTACCAATGCAGGTATCCAGATTTGCTTGCCCGTCATACCTTATTCCGAACCCAATCCCGGGCCCTATGAATTTCGTTATCTCGACTCTCCCAGGCCTACCACCCTGAAGGCTATACTGGCATGTAGCGACCAACATGGAGACCTAATCACAATCGATTTAACCTCCCGTGGATCTAGCTTCGACAGAACTCTTAGCGATAACGAGCTCAAACGGACATCTCCAGAGTTCATGGAACTCTATCTTACACATCATCAAGTTGACGAGCCAGCCTGTGGTCTTACGCTCGTCGACGCGAATGCGTCGCACTATGGTTTCATACGCTGTGGCACCTTCCCTCGCGAGATGACCAGCAATGCTTTCACCCTTTCGTCTCGCGCGAGCGATCTCATCCTCATAATCTATGCCAACTACAGTGCCAAATCTCGTTTTGCAGTTGGGCTTGGAAAACACTTTGGCCGGGAATGGATGCACGTCACTTGTGATGAATGCGTTGCAAATCAACAGGACGACTGCAAACCATGGTCGAGCTTTGCTGAGAAAGCATATGACATGATGTGGAGTGCACGGGCGCGACTTGCTCAGAAGTATCACAACGACAAGCTGCACGCCCACCTTTCCCAATCTATTTGGGCTGCAGCGGTTGTTTGGGAAAGTGACCTTGTGACGGTAGACATCAAAAAATGTGCTGGTTGTTGTGTTGGGACCACATGAGTGGACGGTTGGTTCTTTCGTCTGCATACACGTGCGGGTCTGAACTATCCAGTGTGACCCTAGATTAATCGTGCATTTCATTCGAAACTGGATGGAACAAGTCGGCAGGTTCGGGAGGACGAGTCAGCTTCCATGGAGAGAAGGAAGCAATTTGAGGATATCCGGTGAGCTCACGCTGCAGAGCGCTATGTGGTGTCTCTGAAGCTACGTTCCGGAGAATAGGAAGCGCTTTTACACCCAAGTGAACATGGTACCCATCTCCTATCATCTTTACTCAAGTAGCTAATCATGTGAGTTGCAGCATCAACCTACAGGAACCGAAGTTCATCGCAGTCATGGGGTGCGTTGAGGAACTGCATGAAATCTACAAGCACATACTGATTACGGCGACAGAACAGCCAGATGGCGGATGAAGTAATCACGTCCCTCTCAAATATGTTTGGGCTCAAGGACTTGACAAATTATGTGCGCATTCTTTCTTTCGACACCTCAGCCTGCTCACCCTCGAAGTATAGGTCGGCGAGATAACATTCTTCAAAAAGCTCCCCCTTATGGTGGGAACTAAGCCAGCCGGTGAAGGTGCTGCAGGCGTGGCAGAAGGTTAGCCTGCCACATTGAATATACTCGTCTACAAAGCTAAATTTTTCAGTCCCCGGAGACGGTTTACAATCATGCGCGCCGAAATCGTCGCCGGGGGCTCTGGTGGCGATAGGTAATCCATCCAAACTCAGGCAACAATCGATAACCATACAGGACCCACGCCTTGAGGTAGCGTTACCTCTTTTACTCAAGGAGTGCCAGACTCTTGGCATGTGGTATCGCACATCGAGCCGGAATTCTACTACAAAGCAAAAAATAAAGCACGAGGCGAGGTGCATATCGCAAACTCTGGGTGCTGGGGTAAGTATTCCCATCAATCTAAAAGAATTGGGATAACACTAGTTACAAAGATACTTCAGCATATCAGTATGGCCTTCACGTGTGGGCACTTGTGAGTATTCCACCTAGGTCATCTCGTTGTAGTACAATTCATTGTGCATTGATCCTAGATGTATTGATTACGACGGGTCAGTACCATCCCTTTTGATATTCAGTACTCCAGGTCTCGAACACTACATAGGCAACTCAGCACTGGTTCTATATTGCAAGAGATAAATGCACTCCAAACGAAACTCGATGCAACAGAAAACGAAGCCGAACAACGAGTACTGGAGGAGGACATCACGGGAAAGGCAGGGAAAGCATCCGGTTGCTATCTTTTGAGACTAATAATGCGGGTGTGTGCAGATCCTGTGGTTCTGTTGGCATGGAATCTGCTTAGAAGTGCACGAGCTATTGTCAGAGGCAAGCTGACTCCGATTTCTGTCAACGGTATTTGACATCACCCAGGTCTTGAACTACATTCGGAAAGCAGGAGAGGTGTATGTGAGTGGTAACGTGAGCACCGCAACATCCATCGTAATCATTGTCACTAGGGTTTACTCAAGATTGGACAAATTATTGAACAAGTCATGCCAGACTTGAATGGCGACCAAGCTCACTTGCAACGGTAAGCGACACCATTCGGTTTATAATGTTGATACGAATAGCTGAACTATACCGGGCCAGCATCATGGCTGATGCAAGAGCAGGCACGTCGAAGCATCAGTTGTGGCTTGCTGCGACAGCTCCGCAGCACACCAACTTGCGAGATAAAACTATTTCTAGGGACAAACCCACTCGAAACACGGAGGAAACCAACCTGGGTACAAGCTCCCAAATGTCCCCTACATCAGCGGATTTGTGAATTCTGGGCGCTGGCAAATGTACTTTTGGCTGTACCCGAGCGAGTTCGAGGCGTTCACGAGGATCACAGTGGCGTCGATGGGAATCGCGTAGTCACCACATACACGTTGGTTCCTCGATGTGACCAGTCTTCTGTAACGATGTCCAATGCTTTGAACATGAGAACAATCCCTATGGCTGTGAACAACTGTGCAACATACACATAGCATTTTTTACGGGAATGCAATCTCCGCAAGAGCAGGTGACGGGCCACAAACACGATAATTGGGTTGAAATCTGAGGTACTACAGCAGGGTCCAAATCGATAGACCAGAATTGACCAACACCCACAAAAAGCGCTTTTGTTTAGTTCTGAAATGTAGCCAAATAATGACGTTAGATCATGCGAAATTACCAAAAATGAACCAGAAAGAGCGCATGCTGTGCTCCAGTCGCCTCCCACCCACCGTGCCCAACGCCCGTTCCCTTGTGACCTATGCAGTTCCGGCATGCCACAATGTTTGAGTCACTATAGTACTTTTAGTAGTACATGAAGTGTAGAGTCTGAGTACAGACTTCAAAGGGTTTCAAGACTCGTAAAATAGCTACTATTAGTTGTACACTTGTAATTCTACACTAGTATGATTCAACACTGTAGCGGTATGGTGTAGTTCGCGCCAATGTTTGGCCACCAAACAAAAAGTGCTCATGTGAGCATCGCAAACGAAGTATAGTGCGCGCCATTGTTTGGCTGCATTCCAAGACTAAAGGAAAGCGCTTATGTGTGCGTTGGTCGATTCTGGTCTATCGATATGGAACCTGCTGTAAATGGCCAAACATTTTCTCGAGGACAGACTCTGCATAGACTAATGGGTATATTTCCCATTTTACTTTCGCTATGGACACCGTAAAATGCGGGTCGGCTGGCTAAAGCTATCTATAAGAGTATGTAATACTCCCGCGGGTCACCTGGTGCAACTAATTGAAATGGTGGAGCTCCTAACCTGAAATCGTACGGTAACTCCGCAACTTCTTTGATCTCGGTCTTGAAAACCTTAAAGATAAGGAGACAGGAACACGTGCCAAAGCATGTAAGATTCATAGAACACGCAAATGACTGGCAAGGGAGGCGGGCATAATTGCGCTCGCGGCGCGGTACGTACTATGGTACATTCCGGCAAAAAAAGGTGGACGAAGAATTACCAATACTAAATGTATTCAGTAAATGATGCTTCAGCGTAGAGGGCAGTGTGTAGTGTTGCACTATACGTTTGATATGACGTTGCATGGTACAGAGTGAGAAGGCGCGGGAGGAGTAACCAAAAAAAAAAAAATCAAGGTAACGCTAGCATGTCTCCGGAGGCACGAAGTGATAGAAATGAGGCTCGTCTTGCCTCCGTACTTGGCGTAACCTTTAATCCACCCATGTGGGCGCAACCTTGATCTTCGCGTTCGGCCAGTATTTCCCTTCCGCAAGTTTGTCTGCTTCCATCCGGATCTTGACCGATCGATGTATCCTCAGGGTCTCTCGGTTGGGGACATGGCGTCCCTTACCCATGTTTATCCTGAGGTCGGATCAAGAAAAATTCAAACTGGTTCAGCATGCGGACTCCCAAACGGAAGACGAGAGTTACACACTTGATATCCTTGACCCAAATGTCATCCTCATCTCTCTGGTAGTGCTGCTTTTGCGGCAGCATTTCGAGTATCCACCAATATCGCGCAATCTTGAGTTGATCGTAGATGGGGCTGAGCGCATCGTCGAGGTCCTCCATTTCCTCGCTCACAAATTTGCCATCGGGGTCACACTGGATTGCTGCATCGTCATCATCGCACGGTACGCCAGGGTCGGCGTTTGCAGGGCTGTTAAAGATGGCTGGTGGGCGGGGGGTCACGTGGGGGTACAATGTTGAGGGGTCCATGCCAATCTGCTTGAACATTGAGCGGTGGAAGAGAATGCCTACTTCGGTTTTGAAAATCTCCCGAATCATCCACCGGAGAGGGATACGTGCTAAACTGTTTCGAGTACCATTCTTGACGGAACCGCCACCGACGTCTGAAACGGAGTTGCAAGTATCAAGACCATGTTAATTCCCGGACTGTTCGAGCTTACCGCAGTGACATCCTGCGAACCATACTTCGTCGAAATCGGTCTGCAGGATTGATTCGGTGTAGCGACGCTCCAGATCCTGAAGACTTGATTCCTGATGGTGTCCATTCGAGCTGCTTTTCTCATGCAGAAGCTTGTCGTAGGGAATATGAATGGAGGAGAACTTCTTGGTGCTTCGAGGCATTTCTCCTTTCTGGACGCCAAGTTTATTGTCGGCGTCTGTGGACCGGTTGTAGAAGTTCGGCATAAAGCGCCTGTACAAGGATTCAGATATATGAACATTAGCCTACGCAAAACATCAGTTGGGTACATACACTCGGTGTTCATCAAGTGCAAGAGCATGTCTGAAGTAGCGAATCTTGTTGTTTGCTCTTGTGAAAGGCAGCCTGCGAGGGATGACGCCCACAGAGTTAACAGTATCCCTGTCCAAAGCGCCCACATGATACGGAAGTCAGTGGAACCAAACCCCATAATGTCCTATTAGCTCAAAAAGCTTACCAAACCCCGACGAATTCGACATCAACGTCGATAGAAAACGCCTTCTTAAATGCCTTACTCTGTTCCCAGCCTTCATCGTCATCCTTGCTATACATTTTGTACGCGAACGGAACCTGCTGGTGGTTGCAGCGTGGTAAGAGACCCACTTTGTGAAGCCTGTAGTGGGGCTAAGCAAGTGTTCCGGTATATAATACTGTTACGGAAGCCTTACATGCCAGCCAGCGCACGGGCAGTGTAGGCGCCTCGCGAAAACCCAAACAGACATATCCTATCTCCTGCGTCATCTGTAGAGTCGAGGTATCAATCATCATTGTTAGTATCAAATGAAGAAATGGAAATGTCGAAAAAAAACTCGCAGTTTTGCATCAAGAACTCGTAGCCACCTGCAGAAAACACGTGTTTGTTAGGCGCCGCGATAAGAGGATGCGGGTACCGGTGGCGTACCCATGACGTGAGCATCCAGGTTGTTCCCCACCATCGCATCGATGGTCTTGGAAAGCTTGGCGTAAAAGGGCGTGGCGATTTGAGGGATAGTGTATGTACCTATCCCCGCCTTATGTTGCGCCAGTCGTGAGTGGTAATGGACTCCGCCCCAATGTGAGCAAGCGCACCTGATAGTACACCATTTGTTGGGAGGGATCATCCTTTTTCAGCATCGAGAAAAACTGAACGATGTTCGAGTTCTAGCGGTAAGCGGAGGTCAATAAGTTGTGCAAGAGGATCAAAGACAACGACCACCTACATCAGCATCGAACTGGTCGCCTGTACCATCAAAGCAGAGCACGAGAGTGCGACAGGCATGTGCGGGAGGAATCACGTCGTCCGAACATTCTGACATCTTGATGGTCGAACCACCAGCAGTGGGAGAATGGGCTACGTTTGGGAAGTCGGGATAGGCGTCAGCGAAATGAGATGCATTGAGAAACTGAGAGAGTGGGGAAGAGTTGTCCGACATGCCTGACGGCTACCTAGCTGGCAGTTGCACGTTGGCAGAGCAGAACCCCTGTGAACTCATCTTACTTATATAAGGACCGGATGATATGAGATATGAATAGCATCCGGCTTCCCTTGCGACCCGAATAACGTCCATCAAGCTCAAGGGCCAAACGTGTGCTTAAGTTCAGGCGCATCATGTAACTTCTCTGGTCCTGTGTCACTTGCCGTCTCACGTGCGTCGCTCCACCGGCTTCAAATCTTTGTCTCCCCCGAAAGGAACGAGGGTCAAAGGAATGAATCGTGTCAGTGTGATTGGTGGCCATACGTGAAAACGAACTCACCTGGTGGAGCCTTGGAAGGCAATGCAGTCTTCTCTTCGGGAACTTGGACTTCCGGTTATTGGCAATTGCACCACCCGACACTGCAGATTGGCACCCACATGCAAGAGCGCCCACCCAGTCGATCGGACCCTGTATGTTCATAAGCGGTTCGTCGTGAGATGAACAATTGATTGACAGACAGTAATCCAGCCGTACATATTATTATGCGTATTATTACAAGTGGGGATTCCTATCAATAGTATTCGGTTCAGAACATGGATGTATTCCTGCTAAGCCAAACTCAGCATAGAAGGAACAATTGCGAACTTCTACCCCAGCGGCACTGGGGAGCACAGATCACATCTACAGCTAATGTACTATCCCACTTATGGATAAGCAGTATCCCGTGTATCATGAAACGGCAGTTCATGTATTATCCAGGGTTGTGACCAGTGTTTCTAGTGCCAGCGGCGTGCCGCTGGATCGCGGCGGCGGCTTCTCCCGGCTGAAAAGCATGGAGTGATTGGCCTGTCGTGATTACATAAGTCATTTGTGCATGCACCTATCAATGTGAGTTATGTTCACAAAATGGCCTCATGTACACAACACGAAAAGGGCTAACAGTTGCAAGTCAGCTGTTTACACAAGTAGTAGTACATGATAGTGTTGTAAAACCTGACCAGACATGCTCAGCATTGTAGACACAAGTGCTAACATTGATAATACCTGACTGGACATGCTGCAAGGAGTAAGTATACACATGTGTCCTCAGGGGCTACCATACCCACCTCACATCTGGGAAACAGCTACACAACACAGTTGTTAACAGCTCTTCCACACTTGAGTGAGCTCTCTCATTGGCCAACAAGTGTCTTAGTGAGTCATATGACAAGTCACTTCCAAACAGAGGCAGGTATAACCTGCTCACTCCCTTGGGTAGTTTTGCAGATGCAGCATTGTAGACACAAGTGCTGAGGTGTAAACTAATGTAAACAACTTTATAAGTACAACTGTGTACAGCATGTGACTGTTGATGCCAATGCACCCCCACAACAGGACATGTACAAATGAACAAGAGAGAGAGAATACACTGTAAGCTGAAAGAAGAAAAACACCTGAGTCCCATGCATAGAGAAAAGAAAAAGGAAAAACAGAAGTGAGCAAAGTGACTGTTGAAAAACCTGAACCCCAATGCCCCCTCAATGGGACATGAGAGACTGGTGATATGATGAGAGAAGCACAGGTGAGGTAGAGCCTTGGTGAGGACATCAGCAGTGTTGCAGGAGGACACAATCCACTCAAGGAGAAAAGTCCCAGCCTTGATGTGAGAGTGACAAAAGTGGTACTGTGCATCAATATGTTTGGTGCAATGGTTATTTGCAGCTTCTTGTGAAAGTGTGATCACTCTGGCATTGTTGGCATAGAGACAGATGGGAGGCAGTACAGAGTGTCAAGAATGTGTTCTGGAGTTATGGCAGCCTCTTGAAGTTTCACCCAGAGGGCTCAGAGTTTCTCCCTGACCCTTGGAATTAAATTCTGATGTCACTACACTTCCTAATTACCATACTATAAATTTTCTGCACTGTTGTTTTCCACCTCAGTGACTACTTTGTACACTGAGGTGAGTATAGCTAGATTCCTGCTTGTTTACTTGGTATTGACATAGTGTAGAAACTCATATCTTCATTAGGTACTAATACAGTGACTACTTTGTACACTGAGAAACTCATACCTTCATTAGGTTATGAGCCCCACTCTCATGCTCTAATTCCAAAAGAGTTATTACACAGCAAGAATACCCACTATGGCAAAAGACAATCATTCCTTACAAGTCCCAACCCTAAATGCAGATGGAAGCAACTGGTTATATTACAAGGCTTGGGTTGAGTGGGCCATCAGCTTGAAAGGGCTGATTGGACACCTGACTGGCTTGGATGCAAAACCAGAGGACCCTTCAGTGGGAAAAGACTCCTCCTGGAAGCCCACAGCCACAGAGCAAAAACTTGTCAGCAAATACCCAGAAAAACTCCAGCAATGGGCAAAGGACAACAGATATGTCAAGCAAGTGATTGCTGTGTCACTCCCAGAATCATTGTTCCTTTGAGTTCTGAAGGAAGAGACTGAAGAGTGTGTGGGGTGTCCTCACTGATCTTTTCCAAAACTGCTCTCACATTGTTGCAATCAATCTTTGGAGAAAACTCCAAGAATCCCACTGTGCAGAAAAAGGTGATGTCTGTGCTAACTTTGACAAGATGTGTGCACTGTGTGAACAACTTGCTGCACTTGGACAATCTATCACAGATGACAACTTTGCAGCAATCATTCTCAGTTCACTTCCCACTTCATATGACTCCAACCTTGCAGCTATGACATCTTTGGCCCTGGTCATGCAAAAGGACCTATTTCTGGACTTTATAATCAAAGTAATTTCTGATGAATAGCTATAGTCCCACTACAATTGCATTGCAGTTGTGCAGTGGTGGCAGGTTTGGTGGTTTTTTGGGCATAAGCTTATCCCATGCAGGTTCTGAGGAAGGATATTAGTTTGGTTGATTGAATGGTAATGGAATGTAACCAAAAGTTGCCCTGAGGCATTTTGTATTGTTGATATATTTAATCAGCAGCCCTTTTGCCCTTGGGTGTGCAAGGAGGGTGGCTGTGGCAAACAAGCCATACCCTAGGGTGTTGAACAGTATGTGTCACACTCTATCATACTTTTCTAATACACATGCACATTTTCTTGCTCATAAGGCCTGGATGAAGTTTACTGATCTTCCAGCTTTCAGTGGATGATGAGCAATTGAGATCTCCACCACAGCTACCAGTTTCTAGTTCAGTTCACAGTGCACTGGATCATTTCCAGGTCCCTGCACACAGGGCATACACAGTGAATCCCATCCAATGCACACAGAAAATGATGGATCATTAGGACAAGCCCTGCAGACAACATGCAACATGTCAATGACCCAAAATATTTAATCTCTTTCTTGGTAATGGTTCACCCTTGGACTCATGTGCATTCATCTTGGGGAAGGGGAACTTGACATGATTGATCAGCATGCTACTTCACTGATGCTGATCTGGACAGTGAGCATGAAGTTTGGAGATGATGCAAGGCTCACTGTGATCACTGCCCACATTAACCAGAAAAATGCTTAGTAAGCCAAAGCCAAAGCATAATAAATCATTCTGTAACAATTCCATGACATGGTGAAGGCTATGTCAATAACATGAACAACATGTGAGGTATCTGTACAACTTGGGACATTCACTCCAACTGATCCTCCCTTATTATGGGTGTGTGTGTGTTTTTGGATGATTTTGCCACAATGTAAGAAATTCAAAAAGACACATCAACCAGCATGCTGGAAATAATATCATCAAAAGACTACAAACATAAGAAACTGGAGAACTTACAATCTCAGCCTAGCACTGTAAAGACAAATTGCCAATCATTCCCTATTCCCCCTCTTTACTGCACAAGATACATGTTAAGATGTTGATGACAAGTGTGGAGGAAATAGTGTCATACACATCTGGTTGTTCCTTGCAATATCCACAAGGATAGGGCATAAAATGTCAATGTTATGACCATGTTCCATAAAGGCTGCTTTGATGAGTTGGTGAACATTAGCTTTGACATTTGATGTTTGATATTTGTTGACAGCAAATGCCAAGCACCGCCGCAAAGACCTCCCTGTCTTTTCCTGCAACAAGAAGTATAAATATTCAAACACAAGTAAGGCACCTGAAGCAATGAGATACATCTGGGATGGAATACAAAGATGTCATTTACCAATGCCATGCTCCACAACACGTTGCATTGATGATTGTTGAGTGGTGGCCAAGGAGGGCATTGCAGGGAGTGAAGTACGATGATGAATGAGAGGCTATGACATTGCACCTTAGCTTTTCTGAACATGATGAAAGGAAGAAGGAACTGAAACATACAACCTACAGAACAACCATGAAAGGATATGTGAGGTAAGGTGAGGTATTCACAAACCAACTGTCAATCTAGTTAGCTTTCATTGCATGAGAAATGCAGATTAAAATGATTACATCCTACATGAAATGTGTCAGCATTGGTCAAAATGCAGAATGGTGGTGACTACTAACATGCTGTAGTGTATAGCTCAGGATAAAAGCATCAAAATAATATGCATAAAAGGGGCACCCACATCCTGAAAGATCAGTTTAAACTTGACACTTGAACCACATGCATTGATGAACCTCACCAACTGTGCAATATTCAGAAACTGGTGACTGAATACTAAGAGCAACCAAAACCTACTTGCTATGATTGCAACAGGAGAACATGAGAAATAGTAAACATGCACCACTGCCAGCTTCCATGGCTTCACTCACTTTCTATGGACCAAGCAAACTTGATCAGTGTCAGTCCACCATCAACATCCAAAGTTCCCCTCACATGCTATGAACCCAAGTTCAACAGAGTGGTGGAGAAGATAGTCAGCATGGATCCATCACAACCTGCCATGACTCCACTCACATGCTATAAACCCAAGTCCAACAGAGTGGCAGTGAAGATGGTCAGCATGCATCCAACACCACCTGTCATGACCCCACTCACTGGCTATGAACCCAAGCCCAGCAGAGTGGCAGCAAAGATGGTCAGCATGAATCCAACACCACCTGCCATGTCTCAACTCACTTCCTATGCACCCAATTACAACAGAGCAGCAGTGAAGATGGTCAGCATGCATCTACCACCACCTGCTGTGACTCCACTCACTTTCTATGCACCCAAGTCCAACAGAGTGGCAGTGAAGATGGTCAGCATGCATCCTCCTCCACCTGCCATGACCCCACTCACATACTATGAACCCAAGTCCAGCAGAGTGGCAGTGAAGATGGTCAGCATGCATCCAACACCACCTGACATGACCCCACTCACATTCTATGAACCCCAGTCCAACAGAGTGGCAGTGAAGATGGTCAGCATGCATCCACCACCACCTGCCATGACTTCACTCACTGGCTATGAACCCAAGTCCAACAGAGTGACAGTAAAGATGGTCAGTGTGCATCCACCACCACCAGCCAGGACTCCACTCACTGTCTATGGACCCAAGTCCAACAAAGTGGCAGGGAAGATGGTCAGCATGCATCCACCACCACCTGCCATGACTCCACTCACTCGCTATGAACCCAAGTCCAACAGAGTGGCAGTGAAGATGGTCAGTATGCATCTACCACCACCTGTCATGACTCCACTCACTAACTATGAACCCAAGTCCAACAGAGTGGCAGTGAAGATGGTCAGCATGCATCCACCACCATCTGCCATGACTCCACTCACTGGCTATGAAACCAATTCCAGCAGAGTGGCAGTGATGATGGTCAGTGTGCATCCAACACCACCTGTCATGACTCCACTCACTAACTATGAGCCCAAGACCAACAGAGCCACAAGGAAGAAGGTCAGCATGCATCCATCACCACCTGCCATGCCTCCACTCACTTCCTATGCACCCAAATCCAACAGAGTGGCAGTGAAGATGGTCAGCATGCATCTACCACCACCTGCTATGACTCCACTCACTTTCTGTGAACCCAAATCCAACAGAGTGGCAGGGAAGATGGTCAGCATGCATCCTCCACCACCTGCCATGAATCCACCCACTGGCTATGAACCCAAGTCCAACCAAGTGACAGTGAAGATGGTCAGCATGCATCCAACACCACCTGCCATGACTCCACTCACATCCTATGGACCCAAGTCCAACAGAGTGGCAGAAAAGATGGTCAGCATGCATCCAACACCACCTGCCATGATTCCACTCACCCACTATGAACCCAAGTCCAACAGAGTGGCAGTGAAAATGGTCAGCATGCATCCAACACCACCAGCCAGGACTCTACTTACTCCCTATGAACCCAAGTCCAACAGAGTGGCAGTGATGATGGTCAGCATGCATCCACCACCACCTGCCATGACTCCACTCACTGGCTATGAACCCAAGTCCAACAGAGTGGCAGTGAAGATGGTCAGCATGCATCCACCACCACCAGCCATGACTCCACTCACTAACTATGAACCCAAGTCCAACAGAGTAGCAGTGAAAATGGTCAGCATGCATCCAACACCACCTGCCATGACTCCACTCACTCTCTGTAGACCCAAATCCAACAGAGTGGCATTGAAGATGGTCAGCATGCATCCAACACCACCTGCCATGACTCCACTCACTAACTAAGACCCCAAGTCCAACAGAGCAGCAGTGAAGATGGTCAGTATGCATCCACCACCACCTGCCATGACTCCACTTACTCCCTATGAACCCCAGTCCAACAGAGTGGCAGGGAAGATGGTCAGCATGCATCCACCACCACCTGCCATGACTCTACTCACATCCTATGATCCCAAGTCCAACAGAGTCATGGTGAAGATGGTCAGCATGCATCCAACACCACCTGCCATGTCTCAACCCACTTGCTATGCACCCAAGTCCAACCAAGTGGCAGTGAAGATGGTCAGCATGCATCCAACACCACCTGCCATGACTCCACTCACCTTCTATGGACTCAAGTCCAACAGAGTGGCAGTGAAGATGGTCAGCATGCATCTACCACCACCTGCCATGACTCCACTCACATACTATGAACTCAAGTCCAACAGAGTGGCAGTGAAGATGGTCAGCATGCATCCAACACCACCTTCCATGACTCCACTCACATGCTATGAACCCAAGTCCAACAGAGTGGTGGTGAAGATGGTCAGCATGCATCCAACACCACCTACCATGACTCCACTTACAAACTATGCACCCAAGTCCAACATTGTGGCAGTGAAGATGGTCAGCATGCATCCACCACCACCTGCCATGTCTCCACTCACATACTATGAACCCAAGTCCAACAGCATGGCAGGGAAGATGGTCAGCATGTATCCATCACCACCTGCCATGACTCCACTCACATACTATGAACCCAAGTCCAACAGAGTAGCAGTGAAGATGGTCAGCATGCATCCACCACTACCTGCCATGACTACACTCACTCCCTATGAACCCAATTCCAACAGAGTGGCAGGGAAGATGGTCAGCATGCATCCAACACCACTTGCCATGACTCCACTCACATACTATGAACCCCAGTCCAACAGAGTGGCAGTGAAGATGGTCAGCATGCATCCACCACCACCTGCCATGATTCCACTCACATACTATGGAACCCAAGTCCAACAGAGTGGCAGTGAAGATGGTCAGCATGCATCCAACACCACCTGCCATGACTCCACTCACATACTATGAACCCAGGTCCAACAGTATAGCAGGGAAGATGGTCAGCATGCATCCTCCACCACCTGCCATGACTCCACTCACTTGCTATGAACCCATGTCCAACAGAGTGGCAGTGAAGATGGTCAACATGCATCCACCACCACCTGCTGTGACTCCACTCACTCCCTATGAACCCAAGTCCAACAGATTGGCAGTGAAGATGGTCAGCATGCATCTACCACCACCTGTCATGACTCCACTCACCATCTATGAACCCAATTCCAACAGAGTGGCAGTGATGATGGTCAGCATACTTTCACCACCACCTGCCATGACTCCACTCACTTGCTATGAACCCAAGTCCAACAGAGTGGTGGTGAAGATGGTCAGCATGCATCCATCACCATCTGCCATGACTCCACTCACATTCTGTGAACCCAAATCCAACAGAGCAGCATTGAAAGATGGTCAGTATGCATCCACCATCACCTGCCATGACTCCACTCACATACTATCCAATAAAGGCCAGCAGCAACACAAACACATTGAGCATAAATTCCACACAACAATATACTCCATTTGACACACATTCTGATCATCAATTAGTATTACATTCATTTAAGACCCTTTTTCCTTACATATGGAAACCATTTGGACAACTCCAATGCCAGCTTTGTAGTATTCAACTTCCCCTTTTTTATGTATACCTTCAATGTTCTGGCTGCTCTCAGTACTTTCCCAATGGAAAACTAGTAAGCTTCACCACTTACTCTAATATAGCAAATTCAATACACAGTCCCAGGTTAGTCTGCTGTGTTGACATCAGGAGTGCTTGTAGCCCATCCACAGTCAAAGCATTTGCTGTGCATTTTAATAGGGATGTACAATCTCCACCTTCTTCATGCATCCCTGCAGAGATTTCTCACCTGCTTAACTGCCCTCCATGGAATATATTCAGTACTTACCACCAAGTGACAAGTAGTGCTGAGGTGCAAATTTGAACCCATTCAACCAATCCTTGAGCTTTGCAATATTGTTCTCCAAAATCTCTTTTTCCAGTGCTGCTACATTTGTTGCATCTATAGTCAATTCCTGGTCCTCAAGCTGTTCAATTGCCTCTAGCTCCAAGGTATCTGCCTTTGTTAGCAGTAAAATCACAGGAACTATGGAATCCCAAAAAGGTATTCATAAAAGCAATAAGTCTATGCAAATATATACATACCATTCCCTGTATCACACTCTTGGAAAAACTTTTTTTCAGCTGCTGTAACCATCCTGTGGATGTCAGTCATTGCAATGCAAAACCTAAGTCAACCACCAGGATCACATCAGTATGGCAGTCACATCACTTCTGATGTTCTTACCAAATGGCATGTATTCTCTGGTTTAGTTTTGGTGTCCTCGCACGACCCATCACAAATTTCTTCATCATGTCAAACTGCCCTTTGCTTCCAGCCTCAAATCCACATGAATCATGGAATACAAAACGTGGATTACTCCGGAAGACCAGCTCATCCTCAATGTTGTGGTAGCCACGCTGGATACATTCAACACTGTGTTGCATGAGTGTCCAGAGACAAGCCTCTCACCTTTATTGAATCCTGCACTATGGTGGGTGCTACCTGAATACAACCCAACTTACTGTTATGTAATCTGAAGTATGGATCATGCATATTGCATACCTTCTGTCCTTCTGCATTGAAAATCTCTGGTTGATCTGTAGTGTTACAGACCCTCTGCAGGATTGTCGTTTTACCTGCATTTGCTCTGCCCATGACAAGAATGCGAAAGCGATGGATGCGATCGACATGCTCCTTAGCTTTTGCAGGGTCCAGACGATTGAGAGGCCGGAAAGAGGGTGATGCTAGTTATTATTGTTATGCTTGTCCCACTCGTTCACAAGTAAAATACGCACTCGAAGATTCTTCCCCCGTGCTCGCAGGAACAGGAATATCCACATCACCTTCGGGGGGAGCGATACAGCTCGGTAGAGAACCTGGTCACGCAACTTCAGCAGATATATCTCACAGTGCATAGGCGTGTGTGCAACCACCTTGAGTATCCTCTGAAATGGGATTGTTCGTGAGGCTGTAGACAGACTGAGAACGTGAGCGAATATCTTCATTGCCTGGAGGAGTATCTAGACAGTATTTCCGTCAATACATGAATGTGAATGTATGTATAACTGGGTGACGTACCAGGTTGATAAGCTTCAGCGCGATCCTCTCGTCCATCGGCAAGCTGGGAAGAGGGTAACTCTGGTTACTGATGTTAGACTTCTCTCAATCATCACCAGCACCACACTCGCCCGTGAGTATTTCTCCAGCATGTACAGTAAGTGAACGTGAACTCGTAGTTTGATCATCAGTCAGCACAGGAGTAGGAGTGCTTGTACTATTTGGCAAACAATCTGGGCAAACAATTTCAGCGGACATGTGAACGATCATGAAAGAGGATGTGCGACCACCTTGAGGGGGGGCGGGAGCAGCAACATCCGAATCCGTGCTGCATGGACGATCGGTTTCAATTGGCGCAGGAATGTCGGGATCCGTGTTACCTGCAGGAGAATGTCGACAGTAATAAGTTCAGCCTACCCAAGAACGCGACCATCGTGAAAAGCGTAGGACGTACTTGGTTGGGTTTCCACAGTGGAAGTGGGAGCTCGTTCAACCATTGCATGGTTGCTCCGTGCCCGAGAACGTGGTCGCCATAACGTTGGCCATAATCCGCTACAACACCCAAGAGCCATGAACAATGTAAAGACGAGATTCTTGAAGTTTTCTGGAAAGCAGTAAGCGTATAGTTGCGGGAGGATGGAAATAGTCGAGTGGTAAGGGCGTGGAGCTGCGGACTCGTGTTGATCGATAAGAAGAGCGCTCGTGGAATGCACACTGCCAATCCGTAAGAGCCATGCGTCACGCTGAGACCATTGCAACCATAGAACACCGTACTTATGCAGAACGACTCTTTCGGAATCCCCTCTTCAAGCAAACGACAAGGGTTACTGCGGTGTTCTGCGGTCTCCCCACTGCGTTTTAGCAGCAGGCTTGAGACACTTATATCTTCAACAATTGAAACAGTCTAGAGACGAAACTTGCTACGTGTCCTAGGCTACAGTAGGCGATCGGTTTGCACGAACAAGTGTCCTTTCGTGTTGACCCGTTTCACGATCCAAAAGACGCCATCCTCCTCCAAACGCTTGTCCTCCGATCGGTTGAGACCATTTTGACAAGGCAGCCTCCCTAGCGACGCGGCGACCCTGAACACTCCCATCGAGATATGGATTGGTTACCTCTCCAGTAAGTAGTACTTGTTAGACCATGCTGGACGACTGCAAGCACACTAAGATATCCTACAGCATCCGATCCCATTCCCCTCCATCCGCCCGATTTATGGCTTCCTCTTCGAGAACTAGTACGCTCTTATGCGCTGGGAAGTATTGGGCGCAAATCCGAGAGGCTTGGTCTCGCCCACCTGCTGGCAGTCCCGGGTTGTTATCGATCGCATCTCGAATGAGAAGCATTTCACTCTGCAAGCAATAGACGCCAGGTCTATGCACCTCCGCTCTTCGCGGTGTCGGCCAGCCATCCTCGGATTGTTTTCACGGGGCCTGTTAGGAAGCCACGCGACGTATGAACTTCTGGTTTGACTGTTGTGTCGCAATTGAAGCAATGGTGCCCATAGTCGTCGCCCGTGCCCGCTGCCCTCTCAACCATAGACATCCTCCCATCTTTGTTTCACACTCTTCTGATATATAGCTCTTCACGGTGTCGCAGGGAACAGGACGCTCGTACCCCGAAAGATCCCTGAACAACAGGTCGTGCTTAGAAGTAGATGGTCGCATTTTTTTGCGGCTAGATTACTCCAGACTTTCAATCAGTCCACCGACCCGCGCTTCTGAAGGTGTGGGTACCCATACCCAATCTCCGTTGTCCTCGGGCTATGTTGGCAGTTCGAGATACCGCACGTCCAATGGAGAGGTGTACAAGATGATTCTACATGCAGGATACACACCCACATCATGGCCACCTGATTGCGTGTTCAACTCACGCCTAATGTCCAACGCTGAGGGCCTCCAAATACCAAGGCCGGGGGGTCCCAAGCTCCACGGGGAAGTCATTTGGCTCCGGCTTACATCTCTTCAATACTGTCATCCTTTCCACCCTCGCCCATTGACCACACCCACCAGATACGATTAAACATCGGCGTTGAAGATGCCAGACATGTAGGCCATCTTAGTCTAATAGTGGCTAGCAAGCAGACGAATGTCATTCCAGACTATACAGTACAACACACGACCTAGATACAGCATATGTATGTGACAAGAAGCGAAGGTCAATCTAAATGGTATCTCACAACCTATCCTAACAACTTGCTCTGCCTTTCCAAAAACATTACTTTGGGCCTGTCTTCCTCATACGTCAACTCTTTGCTTATCATGACAATTTCCAGATCCATCAGTCCTTCTCGCAGAATACCTCCACCCGAGTCTGAAAGTACATGTTCGTACCACATGTGGAGGTTGTACGACCTTCTCAGTGTCTGCACCATCATGACCTCGACCGAACACCATGCGCGCGTGTGGTAAGCGTCGTCCACGAGGCTGATCAAGGCGTTGCATTGGGCGATGATCATGGGAAGAGCGGCAACGCCGGGTGCAGGATTGTCTTGGTCAACGCATGCATGATCCTATGTACAAAGATGTCACGTCAGCTGCTTACTGAAACCAGATTTGACTCACGACCCATATTCCCAGTCGCTCTTTGTCCACGGACGGATGAAGCAATAGGAAGTTCTCGATGGCATTCACCATTCGGTTGTACTGCATGTTGCTACTGTCATCCGGTGTATCCCGTGCTGTCCCGGGGCCTTTATTGATCCAGCGGTATGAGAAAAAGATGACAACGTCGGCCGTGTCCCTGGGCTGACCGTCATTCTGAATGTTCGATCTGTACAACTGCACCAAAGGGTCGCCCGTTCCTGGTAACTTGTCACTTGATCGCGGTATCTTTCCGAATCCCAGGAAGTCTGAAAAGCGCACAAACTTGAGCGCATCGAACAGACGAGCCTTCTCCGTGTCCGTAGCGAGTGCATCAGCATACACACGTCGCAGGTCTTGTAGAGCGTTCTTGTTGCTACTACTACTGAGCAGTACCGGGCGCAGTTTTTCCTGGAAGAGTACTCGGTAGCCTTTCCGAAGCTTTGCCTCATCCTGTCGACGAGCAACTTCCTTCTTCACATCACCGTCCAATTGCCAGAGGTGCCAAATGTGGACAAAGAGAGGGAATTCCAGAAACTCCAGAAATTCCAAAGACACAGCCTATTCAGCAAAGGACAGAAAGAAGTCTACTTGTGAAAATTGCAGAAAGAAAGGTCATACAAGAGACCAATGGGGTGGTGGAAAAGCTGGGCAAGCACCCAAGTGGTTCCAGAACAAGGGAAAAGGGAAAAAGAAGGAGAAAGGCTCTGGAAAAGCAGCCACTGCAGCCAGTGCATCAGCCAGCTTGAGTGCACAGGCCAGCACTGACTCTGAACCCAATGGAGTTTGGCTAGTGCACCTGCAGGATGATGATTGGCTAATGGAAATCATGGAGGAAGAAATTCAAAACCCCCAGGATATTGTTATTGACAAAGAAGATGCATATACAAACACCTTCAATCATGCTCTGCTCACAGGTGAAAGCCTAAATTCTGCAGAGGAGACCATCCTGTTCAACTCTGGTGCTTCACATCATATGTCCTCCTACTGCAGCAAATTCCTAGACTACAAGCCAATTATTCCCAAAGCTATTACTGCTGCCACCAATCACACCTTCCATGCCATTGGGAAAGGTGATCTTGCAATCTCACTCCCAAACAGCACTGTGCAAACCCACATTCAACTCAAGGATGTGCTCTATGCCCCCAAGATGGGAATTATGCTTGTTTCTGTTAGCAAACTTGACATCACTGGGTATGCAGCATTATTCTGAGATAAGTGTTGTCAAATTTTTGACACTTGGAAAAAGAAAGTAGCCAAAATTCCAATGCAAAAAGGGCTCTACTGCCTCAAACAAGCTCATTGTGCCTTTGCAGGCCTAGCTAAGGCCATGGAATCCCTCACCATGGAGGAGATACATGTCAGGCTCGGCCATATCACTCCTGAGGCCATCTGGTGCATGCTCAAGGATGGCACAATCACCAGAATTAAACTGGACGAAGTGCATTCCACCATGGGTGCATGCAATTCATGTGAATATGCCAAAATGACTTGGAAGCCCATTGGGAAGGAGTGCGACCCACCCCACCATGAACACCTTGATGACAAGATCCATACAGACCTTTGGGGACCTTCTCCAGTCCAAACCCCAGGCCACAGTCAGTACTACATGTCATTCATGGACAACCACACTCATTACACCACCCTATTTTTGCAAAAGATGAAGGCTGAAACCTTCAAGTCCTGCAAAGCTTATGAAGCATGGCTGAACATGCAATTCAACACCAAAGTCAAGTGACTTTGCTCAGATCATGGGGGAGAATACCTTAGTGCAGAATTTTCAGAATATCTGAAATCCTGAGGCACAGAACAACACATAACTGTCCATGATACCCCCAAACACAATGGAGTTGCAGAATGGCTCAACAGAACACTTGTTGAGCATGTGTGAGCAATGATTCATGCCAGTGGCTTACCCAAGAACCTCTGGGGGGAGGCCATTATGCACACAACTTGGCTCAAAAACCACTTGTCAACTCATCATCTAGGCACCAAGACTCCCTATGAAATGCTTTACAAGAGACCACCTGACCTCTCAAAAATCCCAGTCTGGGGATGTCATGTCAAGGTCCATGACACCTCTGGCTCCAGGCTAGACATGCAAGCCTGAGATGGACACTGGGTAGGTTTTGACCTTGAGAGTGATGGCCACTGCATCTACTGGCCTGACACATGAGCAATCAGAATTAAACAAAGTGTCATTTTTGAGTGCCAAGATGTGTCCATACCACATGGTGTGCCATTTGAGGGGGAGCAGGGGAATTCTGAAGCCTCAGGAAGCAACTCCAAAGCCTCAAAACAAAATTCCACAGCTTCAAAAGGAAATTCTGAGCCCTCACAGATAGTCAAGTGACCTACCGAAGCAACTTTGGAAATTCCAAGACCAATTCCAGACCCACTCAGAGAAAATTTCAAAACATCTCCTCATTGTTCCACTCACCAGTGCTTCGAATCAGACTATATGAGGCGCCTACATGCAGGGGAAGGCACTTGTGATGGGCACATCCCTCTTGACTTTGTAAAAGAACTCCAAGAGAGTGATAGCAACCCAAATGGCCCAAAATCCCAAGAGAATGCTACCTATGTATTCAATGATGAACTAGCTGCTGATGAAGATGACACCAACATGGTGTATGCTATGGTGGCAGGGATGGCTGAAGCTGAAGGGCTGGACCCATCAACAGTTCATGAGGCAACATCCTGAGCTGACTGGCCAAAGTGGCAAAATGCCATAAATGTGGAATTACAGAGCCTAGAGGAAGCACACACCTGGGACACTGTTGAGTGCCTGAAAGGTGCAAATGTCATAGGATGCAAATGGGTTTTCAAGATCAAATGCAATGCTGCTGGAGAAATCAAGAAGTACAAGGCCTGCCTAGTTGTTAAGGGCTACTCTCAGATACAGGGTGTCAACTATGACAAAACATATGCTCCCATCACAAGACTCACATCTCTCTGCACCATACTAGCAATCACTGCACACAATGACTGGGATATCAATGTATTTGATTTCCACTCAGCATTCCTCAATGGCAAACTTGGAGATGGCAAAGACATTTACATGGAACTCCCTGAGGGCTATGCTGTAGGGTGGAATTTTTCCCATCCAGTTGGGAAGTTAAATGTCACATTATATGGCTCAAAACAAGGCACACTTCAGTGGTACCAGAAGCTATGTGCTACCCTAGCAGATCTTGGACTCACCAGGGCACATGCAGACTGGGGAGTATTCTATGGTTGCATAGGATTGGAAATTCTCATCCTCACCAGCCATGTCAACAACTGCACTATAACAGGCAGTTCCCCATCATTAATTTGCTCATTTAAACAGGAGATAAGCACTCATTTCAAAATCTCTGACCTAGGGCCCATCAGTTGGCTACTTGGAATGAAGGTGATGCAGAATAGAGAAGCCTGCACCATATCCCTGTTGCAGCAGTCATACATCAAGGCCATCCTAATGAAATACAACCTCACCAACTGCAAGCCAGCTGCAATTCTGATGGACCCCAGCATAAAACTCTCCTGTGGAGAAATTCTGCAGCCAGCCAAAGAAGCTGCACACATGAAAAATGTACCCTACCATGCCACTGTTGGCTCCCTCATGCACCTTGCCATTGGAATGTGCCCTGACATTGCATTTGCTGTCTCCACAGTTGTGCAGTTCGACAACACACCCAACATGACTCACTGGGAGGCTGTGAAATGAATCTATGGGTATATCTCAGGCACAAAAGTGCTTGTTTTGACATTTGGAAACTCAGAACAAGGCCTCAAGGGCTATACCAATGCAGATGGAGCTTCACAGGAGCATTGATGGGCTGTCAGTGGATATACATATCTATTGGATGGAGGAGCTATTAGTTGGGTTTCACAGAAACAAGAACTCATCATGCTCTCAACCACAGAAGCAGAGTATGTCACAGCAACACATGCAGCAAAGAGGGCTTGTGGCTTTGACAACTCATTGGGGAAGTTTTCTGACTACTCAAACATCCTATCCCACTGTATTCTGACAGCCAATCTGCCATTGCTCTCACCAAGGATGGCAGCTACCATACTCAAACCAAGCACATTGATATACAATACCACTTCATTAGTTTTGCTGTGGAAAATCATTCCTTTCATTTAATTTATTGCCCTACTGATGACATGGTCACTGATACCCTTACCAAACCCTTACCAAGCATCAAGGCAAAACACTTTGTATCTGCACTCAGACTTCATTCTGGTTGAGGGGGAGTGTTGAGAATGCATTCTGGAGTTATGATAGCTTCTCAGAGTTTCACCCAGAGGGCTTGGAGTTTCTCCCTGACCCTCAGAATTAAATTCCAATGTCACTACACTTACTAATTACCATACTATAAATTTTCTGCACTGTTGTTTTCCACCTCAGTGACTACTTTGTACACTGAGGTGAGTATAGCTAGATTCCCACTCATTTACCTGGTACTGACACAGTGTAGAAACTCATACCTTTGTTAGGTACTAATACAGTCACTACTTTGTATGCTGAGAAACTCATACCTTTGTTACAGAGAACCCTACAGACAGGAGGAATGATTGAATCCACAAACCCTCCTGGATAGCTGTGGTAATGGCCATGTACTTGGCTTTGGTTGAAGACAAAGCCTGCATAGTCTGCTTTTTGGAGGAGTGAGCCACCATGCCCCCATAATAAAACCAATAGTATCCTGTTACTGAAATGCAATCCTCAGGGTTTGTTGCCCAGTCAGCATTGCTGAACCCATGCAAAAGAGGACTGCAGGTGCACTCTCCATAGTGAAGATGAAGGTTGACCATGCCTGCAAGGTAGCAAAGGATGTGTTTTGCTGCCTTGGTGTCAGTGAGAAAAGGATGAGTGGGGTCCATGGGAAGATGTACCAGGTGGCAGTTGATGAGATCATACTCTTGGAGAAGATGAATTATGTACTCACTCTGGTGTAGCCATAGTTCATGGGTGTGATGATCATGTTCAAACTGGATGTCAAGATACTTTGTGACAGGTCCCATGTCTGAGATGCCAAAACAGAGGTGCAGATGATGCTTGACCTCAGAGAGGAAATGCTCATTATTGCTTCCACCAAGACCATCATCAACACACCAGGCAGCCATGCAGATGACCTCTAGCTGATGAAAAAATGAACACCTTCTCCTTGACCTTCCCATGGAGGAACACTCTCTTTATATCAAGTGAATGTAACTCCCAGTCCTCCCTAGTGGCAATAGCAGCAAGAAGTCAGATGGAGCTCTGCCTCATGACAGGTGCAAACATCTGTCCAAAATCCTTGCCTGGTATCTGAGTGAACCCCTTGGCAACAAAACATGCCTTCTTGACAGGCCCCCCTTACTGTCCCCTCCTTGTACTCCAACACCCAAGGACTCCCTATCACATGGCCTCCTGGGGGAAGAGGGACAAGGCTATAGACATTCATCATCCTCAACTGTTCCATCTCTTTATCCATAGCTGCTCTCCACTGGGATGCATCACTGTGATGGACCACCTCATCATAAGTGGCAGGGGGGGATCAAGAGATCATATGTGGGAT